CGAATCCAGATGATACTCAATATTTTCCTTATTCTTGCCCACATGGTGCCAGACAACATTAACATGTTCAAATTTTACCTACATGACGCTTCTGCGGCTTTAGGCATAACCAATGCGCTTCGTAATGCCGGGGTGCTATGTTCGATCCCAGCTGAGAACAATTTATCTTGATATGGTATCTCGAGCTGACTGTTTGGAGAGCAGTGGCAAACAACTGAACATAAAATTAGCATATAAAAACCACAACAGCCGAAAAATGCTTGGTTGGCTCTGCAACGTCCTGTAAAGGATACGCAACTACATTAGGACATAGAACATTCACCATTATCTATAGTCTTGTCTACACTAGACCAGATGACATTCAACAGTTTCCATAGTTTTTAAGGAAAAGAGGTAAAAGGAGATCAAAAAAGAGAATGAGGAACAATTTAACACCATAGCAGGGAAGAAGATCTGTCTCTGAAACGATCGACAGCGCAAGAAGCGGAGTGCAGTTAACGACAAATTACCAACACCCTATGTCATTTACTGTAAGACATTGTCGCAGAAATAGACAGTTGTCTGCAAACCATTCTAGACAAAGTGGAGGAAGGTGAGAAGACTGTTAACGCCAGTAAACACTGAATCTGCGTTACTTTTCCAACAGAGCAACAATTCCAGTATGGTGTACAACCGGCAGAGTTGTCCGAATCAAACAGACTAATCTTTCTGGAATGTCTAGACTAATTATCCAGTAGAAGATATAACAGACCTATATAGGAGGTTTATCAATGCCAAGGATTCTTGTGCTAAAATTAGTAATTTTATGAAGGGAAACAAATTATCACATCAGACTTACAAATCTTCTTGTTGTGTTGTCGTATGATCTGTTCATTTGTGTGGTTATCAATGCTAGAAAACCAGTAAAGAAAATACTTCAGGGATAACTGCAGATTTCGTAGATGATTTACCAACGTGTTTATACAACAGATTTTGGAATTTATGAGGCAGATCGCAGGAGGATGTAGAACAGCAACAGCAAGAGAGGAAATAAACCTTATATTGGAAATACCTAATAAATAGGACAGATGAAAATAAAGTAACCGGACAACCTAAGAAACGGTTCATAGGTTCCTGCCTGGAAGCTCAGTGAAAGCAAGATGTGCAGATTGACGTTTCCCTTTACTACCACTGGGGCTTCTGATGATAAACCCCCATGGGATTGAGAGAGAAAAGATCATCATCATCACTAGAATATCAGATGACATAGAGCACTGAACGGTGTGATCGCCAATCCGTCATCGAGACCAGCCACTTGGGGAGGAAGCCTGAGAACACAATCAAATAGTTGTTAGTGACATGCTTCTTCTGCTTCTTTCGTTCGCTTGAAATAGATTAGCTGTATCTGCAATGTTGTCTCTAGTATGAACTTCACTGTCTGTTGTAATTCAGTCTGCGACCTGTAAAGTTTATCTTGCACCGCTGTTTTTCTTGGCCAAAAGCTTTGTCTACTAGTGACATCAAATGAAGGACGGCAGATCATCGGGCTTGTTGATACATTTCTAGCAGGTACCAGTCTTGGTAGACATCTAGACTTGTTGAGCAGAAATGTGCTTTGCATATTTTTGATCCTGCTTTTCACATCCACTTGTTCTTCTTTTCGTTTGCTTTGACTTAGACTATATTTGAAGTTGAGTTTCTAGCGTACAATTTACTGTATTACAGATCAGCAGGTTTATATATTATTTGACTCTAGGATTGTTTCGTGCAGCCATAGGAGAGATCTCTCTGAGTTTAAAACAGTGATGTATTTGGTGATAACTTGCAAGATTGATGGAAAACGAGGTTAGTTCGACGTTAGTCTTCCCAGACCTCTCCCATATTCACACTAGCTAACTTCTGATTTGTAGTTCCTGAGCCCCGTGGCCTTCGCACACAGTTACACGGAAGTTCCGCAATGCCGTTGATATATCATGTTGTATATTTCAGCACGCCAGCGCTTTTAACACTCCAAAAACATGGAGAAACTGGGTCTAAAACAAAAGAGAGTGCGGCAACCTATGTCACAGACATTCTCTTTCTCGGAATGAAAACAAAAATACAAGAAATCGCAGACACCAAACAACAGAGCTGGACACACCCGTAACCAACAGGAAAGTCGACCAGCCCAACAAACATGTTAATGAAAAGTAACCTACTCTATTTGGGGAGACTAACGTCCAATTAACCAAAAACGAGCTAGTTAAAAAAGTGAAATAAATGCTATTATGGCTTGTCCTGATATGCGATTATGGTGATCCATGGGATTGTCAACCATGATCACCATTGTTTATGTTAAAAGGGAACATGGTGGTGATGTATTACATGTTTCACAGTATAGATGCTGGCCCGTATTTACACTTCTTGAGCCAACCAACTTTAGTTTTGTGCACATGATGTGTGTCTTATGTTTATTCTGTCTAAAGAGAGTAGTCAGCCCAATGTGTGTGTTGGTTAATGCCCGTCTAGTGGCTGAACAGCTGACATTTAGCTAAATGTTTGTCTGGTAACATGTCACTGTAATATATGTATATTGTGTTCCCGTGCCTTCTTTGTCCAGTTTGTCATTCCCTTTCAATTCACATTATACCACAATGAGAAGGGAATCATGCTAGTATAGTTTTACGTCCATGACATTATTGGAGACAGTAGATAAGTAGCTCTAGAGTGCTTGGGGAATAGACAGTTCACCAGGGGGAAATTACTACCGGATGTGATTAGTAGTCAACATATTTATCTACCCTTTCATTTCATATTATGCTACATTGAGATGGGATCTACTGCAATCTACTTCTGTCGTTGACATGACTTAGAACAATAGATCTTCTTCTTCTCCTCCTCCTCTTCCTCATCCTTGTTCTTCTTTTGGTGCTGCTGCTGCTGTGCAGTGCCTCAACAAAAAAAAACACTATTTGGTATATTGTATCATGGTTTGCAAATCCTATTCCACAAACCCCTGATCAGTTTGCCTTTCACAGTATGTTTGTTAGGCTGCAGTAGGTCCTTACCCCCCCCCCCCCCACCCCACCATCTCATCTTCCAGACTGGATCACAGGACCCACAAAGGAAGGACAGTAGATCTTGTACTGTGTACTTGTTGGATTGGCACGTTAGGTGAATAAACAGTACATTAGTTAGATTTACTAATGAAGTCGGGAAAAAGAGCACTGGAAAATATTGTGATGACTGGAAAGATCACTGGTAGAAGAGGCAGAGGTATACCAGGAGAAATGATTTTGGATGGCTCAAGACAGTAGAATGTAGGGGTATTATCAGTGGAATTGATCCAGAAGACCAAAGACCAAGGTCTGTGGAGAGGCATGGAAGCCTCCGCCAGCTGGCAAGGCACTTGATGATGATAGGTCGGTACATATATCAGCTCTTTCATTTCCCATTAAACTATAAAACGATGGAATCCATGAAAGTCTAATTCAGTGTCATGGCATTACTGGAGACAGTAGATCTTGTCGTTCTGGGTGTTTTGGGATTTGAGAGTTTTAAAGCTGACAGTGCACCAGTGGGAAGTCAGTGGCAGTCAACGCGTTTGTCAATCCTTCATTTCATGTTAAGCTTCAGTGAGATGGGATCCTCTGCAATTTAGTTCTGCAGCATTGACATTAGTGGCTGCTTCGGATCTTGTAATTTTGGGTATTTTTGTATTCTGATAATAAAATTAGTTCTGTTTTCTTTACATCGCAAAATTATTGGTTGTTTATGACTATGCTAAGCAATTTCACATTCAATAGTTGATCATTACTTTCATAATGGTGGGCTCTCGACTCGATACTATTGTAAAAAGTGATCCGCTGCCAGATCGCACAGTCCTGGAATCAAAACCGGGTATCTTGTAAATACAAACCACATTTGCCTAAGCCACAGGTGCTGATTCTAACTAATGCTTGGTAAACAGATATTGCATCGGTAAGAATAACTATGAATGGATGTATTCTGAATTTACTAGTTCCTCAGCTACTGTGGGAATGCTGGTACTTGTACAACAGCAGCTAATATTGGTGTGACTGCAGAATCATGGTTGTCACAATATATATTATTTGCTTGTAATAACTAATTACACCACAGTGTTGGGGCTTTATGTATCAGTTCTCTCATTCCCCCCCCCCCCCCTTTTCCCCTCCCCACCTTTTCCAGTTTTGTACTATGTTATGGCTCTGTACTTTATACAGTATTTATTTATACCTCTTCGCATTTACAGGCTCTAAACTAATGTAATTGGTACATTAAAGTATTTGGGGTCATTCATAACATCAATGCTAGAATGGCTTGTCCTCATATGGGATTATGGTGATCCTTAGGATTATGTATTGCTACACTACGCTACTCTTCCAATTCTTTCTTAAACTCCTTATGTCGTTCTGTATGGCTGCATATCACAACAAGACAACCTTCTTCATGATGCAACAGTGTGTTACAGATCTAACTTATTTGTGTGCAGACTGTTGGTTACTTGCCTCTTAGACAGATGCACCTCGACTCCGAAGGAAACCCGCAATTAGTCGACTCTTATCACACGTATTGCTGGGGAGGCAGTAGGTTCATTTAGCTCATTCAGTACCAAACAACTTACTATGTAAACTCCAACAAATACAATATATTTGTTTGGTTTCTCTGAGCCCACACCACCTTTCCAGTTGCTACAATAAGCCACTCTTCTGATTCTTTCTTAATCTCTATATGTCTTATATATATATTTTTTTGTTTAATTTATTTTAACTTATCAAACCTGTCATAACTTTACCTAAAATAACAAAGAGTGTGAGTAAAAATAACTCTTGCTCGGTACTGAAAGAGTTAATCGTGGGTTTTAGACTTTTCTAATCTTTGCAAGGTTTCTCTTCTACTGCTGACATTACCAGAAGAATATTTTCTGTTAATTTTGATAATGTTTTGTGTTTACCATTGTTACTACAGCTCTAAACATAATTTTTCTTGTGTCTTATGATGCTTAATTTTGTAATCTACAGTCCTTTCAACAACGATTTTCCTTCCAGAATAAGGTAGGCTGTACCATTGTGTTTTCACTAGTTCTGTTTTCTCTGAAAGTGTCATGGTACATTTAATTGAAAACGAAACATGCATAATTAATAATCCCAGCTAATTCCCTTGTCATAAAGCAAATGCCAGGTGTAAATGTCATATTAATGTGTAACAATTATTGTATCATGTGTGATTGTCTATCTTTTATGTGCAACAGTCAGTGTATCATGTTTTGCTTTTAGATACTTAGATTCTTTCACATTGATCTCATAATCATCATCATCATAATAAAGAAGGTAGCTTGCAAAATCTTGCTGCCATCAAAGCTGTCTGGAAAACAACTTTGTCCTTTCCCAACTATCCTGCCTAGTGAACTTTTACTCCTTGATATCCTGTGTCCACCACAGTGACAAGGCGTGACCAGTTTGCATGTGAAAGCTTTAGCAGGTAATAATGACACTGGATGTAATGTTTTCCTACACATCACTTTACTATTGAGAGTATGCCTTACAGTTAGCATCAGAGTAGTGGTAACTGGTAGCCATCACACATTATAGTTTCTGCATGACAAGCAAAAGCAGGCAGCGAGCATTCATTTTTGCTATTTCCAAAACGTAAACTGAAGGAATGTTTTTAATAAATAGTAAACGGTAATAATAAACAGTAAAGTAATGTATTTTTCTTTGGCAGTAGAAAATGTAAGTGGTGATTATAGTCGCAACAGGAACAACTCCACTGCTCCACCATTATGCTGGTTAACCCCTGCCTCATCTTCCAGGAATCCTACCCTTTCTGACCGTTCTTTCCAAACCTTAATGGCATTAGGTATTGCTGAAGAATTTCAATTTTCCAGAAACTGTACTGTCTGTGTGAGCAAGTGTCTCTCAGTGTTCACATTCACATTCTTTTATTGATTATCGTGATGAGTTTCTTGGGATGCCTAATGTGGTAGTTTCCCTGTTGATCCCACTAGGACATCATTGCCATCAGCTGCTCCTGGTGTAAAGCTGCATATCACAACAAGACCACATGCTTCATGATGCAGCAGATAGAGGAGCAGTGCACTCTGGGTATTCATGCCAGCATCATTGTTCCACCATCTTGGATCATCAAACTACCCAAAAAGGTATGTATGATAGTCATCCACAAATCACATATAACTCTAAACAGTATTTTTCAGCTGGGATTTTAAATAATGGGATGGGGAAGGGTGGGGAGGAGGGATGTAAGATAAACATACAACTAAAAATATTACGACTATCTTTATTATTATATTTAATGTATAAGAAGAAGCGAATGTTGAGTGCTTGTAACTTATACCACATTGTTCTTTCATTTATATTGCGGTTATAGTTTTGAAATATTGTATACAATATCCAAAGAAAATTGGGAGCACATGGCTGTAGTTGACCCTTGCAGCTTTTGTTCATTGAATTTGTGTCAGGACAGCAGATAATTTTCTTTTTTCTATCCCTGATTACTAAGTAATGTTTACTTTGAGCAATGTGCACTTGGTTGCTTCCAGCTGTTCACCTTTGTCTCAGAAGGGGGGCTGTGTGGTCTCGAGGCCTGGTGTCCACCTCAAGTGCTAGAGGTTTTGAGTTCAGTTTGCCTTAAGGGCTGGGATTTTTTTCACGTGGTCTTTGACTTCTGGTAATTCCCCCTGGTCTCTGGATAGTGAGATCGGACGCTCATGTGTATTGTTGTGCACGTAAAAAATCCTTTGACAGTTGGAAATCGAAAAGAGTAGCCTAACGGTGCTGCCCGGGCAAAATTCAGAGTTAAAAATTTACCCAAAGTATTACAGGATCCTCGTGGGTGCTACAGAGCCTGTGCACTGTGCTGAGCTTCTTCGGACTCAGAATTGAGTTAGAAGAAGAACGGAGAACTTATAGGTTACATCCCGTGTGCCATGATGTTGATCCGTTGTTCAAAAACCTCAATCCTTTGCTTCAGAAAACTGGAGATTTGATGAGCTAGCCCAGGGTTATGTGGAATATACTATCCTTCCCTTACAGTTTTCTCAATGCTCAGTCTGCAAAGACATAGATGGCTAGGACATGCTTGGAGGAGAGGGGTGGTAGTGTCCATAAAGACATTCTTGTTGGTCAGTTGCAGATAGGTGCAAGATTTTAGGGTCAGCCTCTACTGTGATTTAAAGATGCCTGCAAGTGGCACATGAAGGATACATATATTGAGATGGATTTGCAGGAACAGGATGTGATCACATTGCATGGAAGGGATCAAATAGGATGGAAATATGGACAAAGGAGAGAATAATTACAGACAAAACAGGAGCTGAGCATATGAGAAGAAACAAATACCTTTGATGGCATCAGTGGTCCTGAAATTGCTTGTTGTGGATTTCTAAGCAGGAACTGGTCTTGCTGGTTACATTTGCCATCCCTGAGCTGGGACTCACATGCCCTCTTATAGCATGGTGGAACATTATCATTAGTGAAGACAAGAAAGTGCCAACCATCTTTTTGTTTCTCCTAAACAAATCTTGTTATCATCCATTTCATGAATTGTACTATGTCTGCTCGAGTAAGAGGCAAGTATCTGCAGGGCAAGTCAGAAATGTGGCTATATGTTTATTTGTGCATGCTTAATTACACAACTTCTATTATATCCCAAATTATAAAAGCAAGCTTCATACCAGCCATTTACTGTCAGTGTAGTGTCAGACTTTGACATTGACATTAGATCATGTAAGAAAACTGACCACCTGTGAAATGAGATGTTTAGGAAAGGCTAGGAACAAACCTAGGAGAGATCATATGAGAAATGAAGAAGGCACAAGAAATATCAGAAAACCTGTAATTCATTGAAAAATAAAGACTGAAATGGTTTGGCTGTTTAGTGAGAATGCGTGCGGCGATGCCAGAAATGAGAGCGTACATCATGTAGAAACACTGTGAGGTAGTGGATGACCAAGAAGAAGATGAATTGAAGAAAGTTGAATCAAGAATTGACATCACAACACTTGCGACAGTCCCCTAAGCATCTTGTCCACACATGTAGCAATAAGCACAGAGTTACAGTTCAGTTAGTACCATAACAGTCTGACTGTATGTCTGTCTCACCTTTCCTTTGAGTGTTGAGCATAAACCAGATTCCCTGGTCACTCCTCGCAGCACCGTTCTACTCATACTGTAACCGAGATGGATTGAAGGAGTCACTGATACCTTGAGACCCCCACATCATCACAGCCTATCAGGCAGCTGAGTTGCCCTAGTTAACCTGCAGTGCATAGCAACACAAAGCAGAATAATGGACAGAAGAGAAGAATCGCATGACAGTATTATGTCTATGAAGATAAGACCATTGGAACAGTAATTCTTCACACTGAAAATATACAATAATACATCAAAACTGAGTCATTTTATTACGTCAGACTCTTTGCCATTCACATCACAGCATAAATAGGTACAATAATATATCAATACTGAGCCACTTTATTACCTCAGTCTCTTTGCCATTCACATCACAGCATAAATATCTACAATAATACATCAATACTAGGTTATTATTACCTAACACTCTTCGCCATTCACATCACAGCATAAACAGCAGTGTTTTGGAAAGTCACTCATTGCTTTCTTGTACATGCACACTAGAACTGCACAAATGTGTTTCTCAAGGGTAGCAATATTTCTAACTCACTCTGTACTTCTAAACCACTCGATCTCGTCGGTTAAACTTCTTACAGACTTTGAGATGGCTGCTGCATTGGAGGACTAACCATGCATGGAATGGCTCAAAGTGCAGTGATCTCAGTCATAATAATATGAAATAGCATGTTACAAATATAGAACATGGATAAACATAATCACCTATGCCAGCCCGGCATTACTCAAGATCATGTGGAGAATAATTATAGATATGTTTGTTTCAGGGGTCTTTCAAGTCATCTTTAAGAGCAAGCAAGAAAAGAAAAGCTTCAGTGAAAAAGCGCAGAAGTAAAGATGATTCCAAGCCTTTCATCCTCAAACCTATTCCATCTCCATTGATAAAACCGGTTGTAGTTTTTATAAACCCAAAGAGTGGTGGAAATCAGGGAGCTAAACTATTCCACAAATTCTGTTGGCTTCTGAATCCTCGACAGGTGTTTGATCTATCTCAGGGAGGGCCTAAGTACGGGTACGTTCAAGTAATTTTGTGTACGCATTTTCATTTAATTCGAACCGATACTAAATTAACATATGAGGACAGCAAATAAACTGGCTTACCCACTTAGAAATAATGCACTTTGATGACATACTATATAGGGTATATACCAGAGGCGGGGGGGGGGGGGGGGGGGGGGGGGGGGGTACAACTTAAGGTAGACCAAGAACACGGTAAAGACACAACATCAAATCTTGCACTTTCCTTCACTCAGAGCACTAAGACAGAAAGGGAAGATGATCAGTTACTTGCATATGTTTAACTTATACTATACTTAGCAAATAATCCAACAAAGATTACTGATTACAGTTTGTTTCCTGTTGCTACAGTGTGTGTGTGTGTGTGTATGTTTATGTAAATGCATGTATGAAGGTGCTCGGAGTGGATAGCTGATGAAACAGAGTTATCGGTGCAAGAGCTGATCAATGAAAATTTAGTCCCAGGACACATTGCTATGTACACAGATAAGTCGATAGTTGAAGGTAGAAAGAGTTGTTGGGGTTTTATCGTAAAGATGAATGGACAGTGTTTGAAAACAGAGAGCCTTATGTAAAACATCACAACATCCAGTATGAGAATGGAGGTGGAGGCAGTAACGGCAGTTTTCTGATGGCTGTAGAGCAGCACAGCCCAACAGCATGTCGTAATTGTAATGGACTCACAAAGCAGGCTTTAGAAAATAGAAACTGTCATCCTACGTGTAGAGTGGCCAGGTCTCCCACATGAGAGCCTGATGTTGTAACCACTCGGCCAGCCACTCTTCTGTACCAAATATCGTTGTCAGTTATAAAATTGTTATATATAATGCCAAGTATCTATGTGTATGTGTGAGTGTGTGTGTGTATGCATGTGTGAGGCCAGATATATAATGTCCTTTCTTTTGGTCTCACAATACACACAATACTCACAACTGGAGAGGAAGGAAAGCAGAAGGAGACCAGCAAAGAAAACATAGTCTGGCATTATTGCATCAAGAAACATCCATATCACAATATCACATGAAAATTGAAACTGATCTTGCTGCTTAAAATGAGGACAGAGTGTTTATGAAAATTCCCAAGTGCCATAATGTCAGTTTTCAACTCAAATCAACTCAAGTCAATGGCAGTATAGCAGATATCAAGTAGCATTTATATTCTCATCTTGTGCCAAACTGCAGTCATTGGTTTCTTGTGACTTCTGACTCCACAGACTGGATCTGTATAAGAAAGTGCCTAATTTACGAATCTTAGCGGCAGGTGGGGATGGAACTGTGGGTTGGATCTTGTCCACCATAGACCAGCTGGGTTTGTTCCCACCCCCTCCTGTTGGCATTCTTCCCATTGGCACAGGCAACGATTTGGCTCGCACACTCAACTGGGGAGGGGTGAGTAGTTACACAAGTACTCTCGGTCTGTGTGTTCTGGTTGCTGTTGTTCTTCTTATTCTTCTTATTATTATTATTAGTATTATTGTTATTCTGTCTCTTCTCTCACCTCTTCTCACTCTTCTTTTTCTGCCTCTCATACTTCTTCTTTGTTTTCCTTCTATGTCTCTTCTCTTCTCCCTTGTCTTCCCCCTTCTTATGTTTCTTCTCATCCTCCACTTCCTTCTTCTTTTGAATGTTTTCTTCCTTAGATTTTCTCATATCTGTATTTTGAATTTGTACTGGCAAATTAATGTGGTTTAAAGCCAGATACAGCAAAAATGAAAACTGTATTACAAGAACTGGAGTTGAGTAAATGAATCTGCTTTAACATTCAGATGTTCCATCTCTTGTACATTTTAAGTTTGATACTTCATCAGTCTCTAGTTAACAAGCAGACAGATGGGCTGGATCTGCACCACTGGCTGGTGAATTGATACATGACAAGGCAGATGTGTCAGGACCCTTTGGAAAAAGCAATGGAGTCAGAAGCGAAAATGGATTATGATGGACTGGAGAGAATGAGGCCCTGGGTGTAACCATAAGGTCTAGACGGCTCACTACACTCAGAGGAAAGGCAAGACAGACATTTAACCAGATTACGACTGGTACCCTTAGTACAGGAACTCTGTGCTGGCTGCTGAAGATGAGGACAATCACGCACTGAGTGCTGTGATGTCACTTCTTGACTCAACTCAACTCAGCTCCCTATCTGTGAAAAGAATAATTTTGTTTCTGCTAACATGGCTATGGAAATGATCTGGTCTTTATAAAATTGGCGTGAGCTGTAAAAGTAAAGTAAAGTGAAGTAGGGAAATAGCCATTCCACTTTACTCTGCCTTTATCCTTTAGCCTAGAATATGTGAATGGTACCAGTTGTAATCTGGTTAAATGTCCGTCTGGCCTTTCCTCTGAGTGTTATGAGCCGGCTAGACCCTATGGTTACACCCAGGTGCCTCATTTTCTCCAGGCCATAATAATCTTGTTTCGCCTCTGACTCAATTGATTTTCCCAGAGGGTCCTGACACATTTGTCTTGTGAAGATCTAATACATCATACCCCAGTGGCAGTATTTGTTAGCCTATAATCTTTAGCTTTAAAAAATAATAATTTGAGTACTTACCACTATTATGTTTCTGCCTTGGTCTTGACCTTTCTACTTAAATTAATTTCAGGGTTACACAGATGAACCAATCTCAAAAATTTTATGCAACATTGAAGATGGACAGATAGTCCAGTTAGACAGGTAAGCTTCCTGTGTGGGACAGATTGTCTAGTTAGACAGGTAAGCTCCCCGTGTGGGTCAGTTAGTCTAGTTAGACAGGTAAGCTCCCTGTGTGAGACAGATAGTCCAGTTAGACAGGTAAGCTCCCTGTGTGGGACAGTTAGTATAGTTAGACAGGTAAGTTTCCTGTGTGGGATAGATAGTCCAGTTAGACAGGTAAACTCTATGTGTGGGACAGATAGTCCAGTTAGACAGGTAAACTCTATGTGTGGGATAGATAGTCCAGTTAGACAGGTAAACTCTATGTGTGGGATAGATAGTCCAGTTAGACAGGTAAACTCTATGTGTGGGATAGATAGTCCAGTTAGACAGGTAAACTCTATGTGTGGGATAGATAGTCCAGTTAGACAGGTAAACTCTATGTGTGGGACAATTAGTCTAGTTAGACAGGTAAGTTTCCTGTGTGGGACAGATAGTCCAGTTAGACAGGTAAGTTTCCTGTGTGGGACAGATAGTCCAGTTAGACAGGTAAGCTGCTTGTGTGGGGCAGATAGTCCAGTTAGACAGGTAAGCTTCCTGTGTGGGACACATAGTCCAGTTAGACAGGTAAGTTTCCTGTGTGGAACAGATAGTCCAGTTAGACAGGTAAGCTGCATGTGTGGGACAGATAGTCCAGACAGGTAAGCTTCCTGTGTGGGACAGATAGTCCAGTTAGACAGGTAAGTTTCCTGTGTGGGACAGATAGTCCAGTTAGACAGGTAAACTCTATGTGTGGGACAGATAGTCCAGTTAGACAGGTAAGCTTCCTGTGTGGGACAGATAGTCCAGTTAGACAGGTAAGCTGCCTGTGTGGGACAGATAGTCCAGTTAGACAGGTAAGCTTCCTGTGTGGGACAGATAGTCCAGTTAAACAGGTAAGCTTCCTGTGTGAGACAGATAGTCCAGTTAGACAGGTAAGCTTCCTGTGTGGGACAGATAGTCCAGTTAGACAGGTAAGCTTCCTGTGTGGGACAGATAGTCCAGTTAGACAGGTAAGTTTCCTGTGTGGGACAGATAGTCCAGTTAGACAGGTAAGCTGCATGTGTGGGACAGATAGTCCAGTTAGACAGGTAAGCTTCCTGTGTGGGACAGATAGTCCAGTTAGACAGGTAAGTTTCCTGTGTGGGACAGATAGTCCAGTTAGACAGGTAAACTACCTGTGTGGGACAGATAGTCCAGTTAGACAGGTAAGCTTCCTGTGTGGGACAGATAGTCCAGTTAGACAGGTAAACTCTATGTGTGGGATAGATAGTCCAGTTAGACAGGTAAACTCTATGTGTGGGATAGATAGTCCAGTTAGACAGGTAAACTCTATGTGTGGGATAGATAGTCCAGTTAGACAGGTAAACTCTATGTGTGGGATAGATAGTCCAGTTAGACAGGTAAACTCTATGTGTGGGATAGATAGTCCAGTTAGACAGATAAACTCTATGTGTGGGACAGATAGTCCAGTTAGATAGGTAAACTCTATGTGTGGGATAGATAATCCAGTTAGACTGGTAAACTCTATGTGTGGGACAGATAGTCCAGTTAGACAGGTAAACTCTATGTGTGGGATAGATAATCCAGTTAGACAGGTAAACTCTATGTGTGGGATAGATAGTCCAGTTAGACAGGTAAACTCTATGTGTGGGATAGATAGTCCAGTTATACAGGTAAACTCTATGTGTGGGACAGATAGTCCAGTTAGACAGGTAAACTCTATGTGTGGGATAGATAGTCCAGTTAGACAGGTAAACTCTATGTGTGGGATAGATAGTCCAGTTAGACAGGTAAACTCTATGTGTGGGATAGATAGTCCAGTTAGACAGGTAAACTCAATGTGTGGGCTAGATAGTCCACTTAGACAGGTAAACTCTATGTGTGGGATAGATAGTCCAGTTAGACAGGTAAACTCTATGTGTGGGACAGATAGTCCAGTTAGACAGGTAAACTCTATGTGTGGGATAGATAGTTCAGTTAGACAGGTAAACTCTATGTGTGGGATAGATAGTCCAGTTAGACAGGTAAACTCTATGTGTGGGACAGATAGTCCAGTTAGACAGGTAAACTCTATGTGTGGGATAGATAGTTCAGTTAGACAGGTAAACTCTATGTGTGGGATAGATAGTCCAGTTAGACAGGTGTGCTCCCTGTGTGAAGCACTTTTTTTAAGAGAAAAAAACAAATGGGCCCACTGTCTCTACACAAGCATGTCATGAAAGATGACTAATTAATAGTTTGCTGAAATCAGATGTTTAGGGCAGAGTGGTGCAGATAACACAGTCTAGCTGTAAACCACAACATGCCAAGCTCATTTTAGGCCGAACTCACAGGTAAGTGGAAGATATTTGATATTTGAACTTGTTATAATAGTATATTTTTTTATAGTTTAAAAACCCTTTCCATGACATTAGTCTGGTAGTCTGGTAGCCTTAGTTTCAGCTTCATAGCAAACGGGTCGCCCCATCTTTGCTCCGCTCCTGTGCCAACGAAAAACACACAGAATGTTTATCACAGTATTAGAATTGCACTTCATCATTGATGGAAGCAGAAGTCGCCAACAGATCAGCAGTTGCCCACGCGATCAATTTTAATCACATACGGGCACCACAACACTGCACGACAGGCATCGCGCCATTTTCTGAATCTACAATTCACACAAGCACGTTGGTCACAGTCGAAAAAACATTCCAAATGCAATCCGTTTTGGGTATATGATGCTAGGCCTGTTTTATAGACCACTCACTGGATGTTGTGGTCAACATTGTGTCAGCTGTGTTGCCTAGGTCAGTTACAGAAACCAACTTCAAGACCTTAGGGCCGGCCGGTAGACAAGCCTCTAGCCACTACACTGTCACTGCCTGTTTATTTGATATTTTTTTTGTGTGTGTTGGGTTGTAGTTGACTTTTTGATTGTTCTGTTTATTCATAATTTCCTCATGCATATGTTTGTTGTTACATCAGTGACTATTCTCCTTTTAAAATTTATTGTAGGCATTTTTTTAAATGTGTGATAAATACCAATAAAGAAACGCATGGGCATTCACAGCAGGCTCAGGGGCAGAATGTTGAATTAAGAATCGACATCACAGCACTCGTGACACCCCCATACGCGCTCCGTCCCCATTTTCAGCAGCAAGCAAAGAGTTAAAATTCTGATGGTACCAGTAACTCTCTAATTGTATATCCGTCTCGCCTTTCCCCTGAGTGTCAATCGTCGGCCAGATCCCCTTGCAACTCCTCTCAGTGCCATTCTCCTCCGACCGTAATGATCTATCTGTGCATCTGCACTGTTCACTTGCTCCCAAAGGGCCCTCATAATATCCAGCTTGTCATACATAGTTTACCACCAGGTGGTGCAGAACTGGCCAGTTTATCTGCCTGCTTATTTCCCAACACACCGACATGACCTAGAGAAAATATCCACAGGATGCTAACTACCCCGGACCTTTGAAGTGATGCTTGCCACTCTGCACAGAGCATGCCTGTCTCCACCTTTCTCAACATACTCTGTGAGTCAGAGGGGTCAGAAAAGTCAAAGAAGCCCAGCTGCATGACGATGGAGGTGATGGCAGTAGTACAGGTGTTCGCATGGCTCAAAACAAAAAAACTATACCAGCACATGTGTACTCGGTGATTCAGTGAGTATGATCCAGAGGGTTCAGGCAGGTTCCATGCGAAGCAGTGGGTTGAATCATTACAGAAGTCACCTATGCGTGGAGTCACCTTTATTTTTATTCTGGGACACGCAGGCATTGATGGAAATAAAAGAGCTGATATTATTCATGCCCTCCGAAGGGAAGGATGGAGGACTTTTGGGGCAGTGAATCCACATCACTTGTCAGAACAATAGACTTGGGAGTTAAGATTGGCAAAGCAAAAAATAAGACGCACACCAGGCGCATCAGAGGACTTGTTCATCAACAAAAAACTGGTACTAGCCCCTGGACGCTGGGATTCTTAGTGAGGGGGAGGATCTGAGCACCTATGGACATGTCTGGAATGCAATGATGATAACCCAACAAACTAACTAAATGCCACAAATGGTAACAAACATATTGTACACACAGGTGGAACATCGAAGTTACAAGCAATGAAAGTGCAGATGGAGATGTGACAGAAGATTTGATCACCGACACTCTGCCTCTGAAAGTGTTCAACAACTACTTCAGTCTTGGAGCTGATGCTCATGTGGCCTTGGAGTTCCATGAATCCAGGGGTAGGTCCTTTTTTTTAAATATAATCTGCTGACTGTATTCTAGGATCATTTTTATTGTATTTCATATGGTATGTTAGTGCTGTGTGATCCCTTTAGGGGCTGCATGGTCTCAGGGCATGGTGTCCGCATCGAGTGCTAGACAGTCTGGGTTCAATCCCCGTTAAGGGCTGGGATTTTTCCATGTGGACTTGGACTTCTAAACCCCTGGGTCTTTGGATAGTGAGATCGGACGCCTGTGTACATTGTTGCACACATAAAAAAATCCCTTGGCAGTTGGAAATCCAAAAGAATAGCTTAACGGCGCTGCCTGGGCAAACTTTGGAGTTAATAGCTGCCCAAAATATTTCAAGATCCTCACTGGCTCTACAGAACATGTGCACTATGCTGAGCTTCTTCGGACTCAGACATGAGTTAGAAGAAGAACAGAGCACTTACGGGTTACATGATGTTGATCCTTTGTTCAAAACCACAAACCTCAATACACTGTGTGATTCCTTTTCAACTCATTCAATACCAAACCGAGGAGTGGTTGCTGAAGTGGTTACAGCATTGGTCTCTCATGCTAAAGATCCTAGTTTATAATTTTAATACGATAATAGGTGTCTTCCTCCAGGGGCAGAAATACAATCATAATCCGTAGGTGACATCACTAGCCGCATAGCTCAGAACCATCAGTTTGAGGACGTCCATGTTCTACACTGACCTAAAAACAGTAAATACTGGCAGTGTTTTTTTTCCTCCTCTTTCTTGTTTTTTTTTTTTCTTCTTTTTTTTTTCTTTGCTGTTGTTGTTGTTGTTAATGCTCATAATACCCGCTCATTCTGTGTCTCATCCTTTAACCATTCCATAAACAACAGATTTTTAACAAAGCAAAACTTCCTCGCAAAATCTTATCCCAGAATCCTCCAGATTATCTTTTGCCATTGTTTGAATATAATGGAAGCAAAACAAACGTCTACACATATGACATACTTCCAAACCTAAGGTAGACCTATACAAAACAGGCTAGCCTACTCCACAGCTCATCTCTGGAACAGTTTTTCACAACCTCAGCACATACAGTAAGAAATTAACTGAATATTGTTGCAAGTCAGACTGCATTCTCCTTAAAAGATGATAGTATTTTAAATATTGTGCATTTTCCCTTGATTGTTAACTTGCAATACTAAGTATTATTATTATTATTATTATTATTTAGAAATGTAAGCTTAATTAGAGGACAGCCCAGCATTTATGATGAAGACTTAGATGTTGTCGATGAGACCAGTAAGGCAGAATTTAAGCCAGCCTGCATGTCTCATTCTAAATGGTTTGAAAATACAATTTCTGAATTTGAACTGTTAAAGACTCAGAAGAAAACGTGTTTTTTTATCAAGTACTTGTGCCTTACAGTATTACGTTAACCCACTCTTGTTACGTTAACAGATTGTTACATTCACATATTTTGTCCAGTGTTGCATATTATTTGAACTAATTTTCCCATGTGGGTTCCAGGACTCCATTTGGGGGGAGGGAGGAATAGACCCACTCCCTCACCCCCCCCCCCCCTCCCTTTTTGCCAAACAAGCATATTTTTTTTATTCAATTTGATTTGATTCAAGAACTGACATCACAGCACTCGGGGCATTCCCATAAGCACTCCATCCCCATCTTCAGCAACCAGCGAAGAGTTCCTATACTAATGGTGCCATTTGCATTCTTGTTAAACTTCTGTCTTGCCTTTCCTCTGAGCCTCGAGCATCTGCCAGAACCTCGCGTCACTCCCCGCTGCATCAATCTCGCCAGACTGAGGTGATCCATCTGCTCCTCCAAACTGTACATGCTCTCCCACAAGGCACTAACAACATCTGCCTTTTCATGTATCAGTATTCCACTAAGTTGTGCAGACCCAGCCAGTCTGTCCGCCTGTTCATTTCCCATCACACCCGCATTCCCGGTGAAAAAATCCAGACAATACTCCTCACTCGTGTCCTCCACAGCGAAGCATGCCACTCTGCACGAAGCATACCTGTTCTGATCTTCCTCAGCATGCTTTCTGAGTCAGTTACAATCACGATGTGTGTGTCGTGTTCTCTAGCCAGCGGAAAGCTGCAGTGACAGCCTCCACTTCCTTTCTTAAGCTGGATGTTGTGGTTTCATATGCTAGGCTCTCCTGCAACAAACGTCGACCATTAACTTTTGCTAAGAAGCCCCAAGCACTTCTTTTGCCTCTTGACATCGAACCATCTGTGTAAATGTCCAAATCCTCTGAGCGAGCATTATCTTGAATTAATTGCTGAATTTCCACCTATGTGGCACCTGCTGGCCAGTTTCTGCATTCCCGGCTCAGCGTGATTATGACTCTACACGTCTAATTGCTCAGGTGGTACTTTGACCCACTCTTTTCCTCGCCTAATGTTCTCAAGGATGCAAACCTGTCTGATTGTGTCTTCTGCCTGAGCCATCCATGACCTCCCTCTTATCAGCTGCTGACCCTTAACAGCACCCAGAGCTTCATGCAGAGGGCGGTCTGTGCCTGCAGCTACCCTGAGATATGACTTTGCCTGCAGCACCTTGTGCCTACCTGCAACCCTCAGCAAACCAAGGATGTATCGCATACACACCACTGGGGTGTCTCTGGTGCAACCCAGAATGACCCGCATTGCTGCGTTCTGTATGCGCTCTAGTTTGCCCATATGACTCTTTGAGACGGTAAGCAGTCCCAGGCCATAATCAACCACTGACAGGATCAGGTGCTGATATAGTGTGAAAAGCATTCTCTGCTGTATGTCAATTGCAGCCATAATCTAAAGTGCACTAAGTCCTTTTTGGCATCTCATCACAACACTCTCTACATGGTCCTTAAATGACAGGCTCCTGTCAAATGTAATTCCCAGAATCTTCAGTTTGCTATCTCTGTTGATGTTTCTACTATCTATCGTGAGACTTGGGACATTAGCTTTAACGATTCTGTTGTCCAGAGAACACCACAAAACAGACGCCTTTTCCAGGTGGACGACAGCCCTCATTTCTGTACACCACTCAGTCACTTTGTCTACTGTCGCTTGAATCTCCCAGGCTGTTTGTTCCCTTTCTTCCCCCTGCCTATATGCAAGTATATCATCTGCAAAATTCAGTATCCTTCCAACTCCTGGTGCCTCCAGGCTTGCAATCTTGCTTGTATACAGGTTAAAGAGCACAGGCGAGATGGCGGATCCCTGTGGCAGTCCTGGGGCCAAAATGAATGATTCTGAGGTCCATGAGCCCAGTCGGAAAACAAACCCGACGTGAATACAGAACAGCTGCAACCCAATTCACCAGCCATGGGGGACTGACCTCCTTCTCCTTCAGTGCAGTCATTAATATGTCATATCTCACTCCATTATAAGCATCCTCAAGATCCAGTCCTACCAACATAGTTTTCTGTCTGTTCTGGAACCCTTTATAGATGTCAAAACTAAAAGTGGCCGCATTTGCCCATGTGTCCTTTCCTGGCCTGTAGCTTCAAAGACCTCTTGGGAGAAGCTTCCCCCTTTCCAAAAATTCTTGCAGCTTTACAGCAACTATCTTCTCCAAGACCTTCCCAAGTGTGTTTTGTAAGGTGATGATTCTTAAGCCACTGAGCAAAGAATGATCTTTAAAATTTTGTTAAATGTTGTTAAAGTAGACTAATTAGGGGTGTATCCTTTGAAGTCAGAGTGCATCTACCTGAAAGGTGAGGAACCAACAGTCTGCATACAGATAAGTGGGATATTTAAAACAAATGTACACGCAATACTGAATTTCTAGAACTGGATGATCAACCAGAACTTTTGTGCTGGAGTTTGCATGCTGTGAATTAAAAAGAAGAGAAAGAAGCTTTGATTTAGACCTAACACTTATTATTTTCAAGTTATTACTTCTTTAGTTGAGCCAGCAAAAATAACAACCAGCTGAGACTGAAAGAGTAAAGATCACTGAAAAGTACTCAACTACCTACACTTGTTTATCTTGAGTTGTATGCACCATTTGTTGCAGTTTACATCCAGGCCACATTTTCTTGATCCAACATCCAATTTGTAGGTCATCAGAGAAACTTTACAACAGCACTATGTGTCTGTAGTCAAGGTGGTCAGAAAAAAAAAAAAAAAGCAGAACCTAAAATGTCCCTTGACACCAGGGCAGTGAAAGAGAAAGTGAAGAAGAAGAAAAAGACCTTTTTTTATTCTTTACAGTCAATACCCTTGCCTATACTTACTGTTGTTTTATGATTCTCTCACAGAGGCCAACCCAGAGAAATTCAGTAGTAGATTCAGAAATAAAATGTTCTATGCAGGGGTGAGTAGTAATTTGTCATACAAGAGAAATATTGATTACATTTCTGAATTGTGTGTTGTAATATTATCAGAGACACTGGTGACCATTAATTGGGGAATGCTGGTGGTCATTTTTTAGGGCCAGTTGTCAGGGGAACAGATGATTAGTTACCAGGGAATTTGGTGCCATTTGTGAGGGAAAATGGTGGCTAACTATTAGGAAATTTGCTGTCAGTTATCTGAGGAACAGGTGGCTTATTAGGAAATTTCCTGTCGGTTATCAGAGGAACAAGTGACTTATTATTAGGAAATTTGCTGTCAGTTATCTGAGGAACATGTGGCTTATTAGGACATTTGCTGTCAGTTATCTGAGGATCAGGTGGCTTATTAGGAAATTTGCTGTCGGTTATCTGAGGATCAGGTGGCTTATTATTAGGAAATTTGCTGTCAGTTATCTGAGGAACATGTGGCTTATTATTAGGAAATTTGCTGTCAGTTATCTGAGGAACAGGTGGCTTATTATTAGGAAATTTGCTGTCAGTTATCTGAGGAACAGGTGGCTTATTATTAGGAAATTTGCTGTCAGTTATCTGAGGAACATGTGGCTTATTATTAGGAAATTTGCTGTCAGTTATCTGAGGAACATGTGGCTTATTATTAGGAAATTTGCTGTCAGTTATCTGAGGAACATGTGGCTTATTATTAGGAAATTTGCTGTCAGTTATCTGAGGAACATGTGGCTTATTATTAGGAAATTTGCTGTCAGTTATCTGAGGAACAGGTGGCAAATTATTTGGAAATTTGCTGTTAGTTATCAGGGAAACAGGTGGCTAATTATTAGTAAATTTCCTGTCAGTTATCAGGGAAACAGATGGTTAATTATTAGGAGAGTTGCTGCCAAATATCATGGGAACAGGTGGCTAATTCTAAAGCAAATTGGAGCCAATAATCAGGGCATAAGGAAGCGTTAATTATCATCAGAATTGATGATCTGTTAACAGGGGAAGAATATCAACTATAATTGTCAGAGCAAACATATGGCAGTTTTCAGGAAAGCTGATGATCAGTAGGTTATTATAGTCTTATATATTATCAAGCAGGGATACAGTTTTTGATAAGGACTAGAATGTTTATGTCAGACTTAAAATAACCAGTTGTATGTAGCCTTTATCCAGTAGGGTAATTACTTGAGCAAGTGGCCATAACATCCCCAACCCTGAATGAAACCAGCCTTGTTGATAGATGTGTGGAGTATATTTATCCTTATCATTAACTCTTTCAGGACCACATTTCTTATGGGGTTTGGACAGCATTAATTTTGAGCTGAATTTTTTTAACTGCAATATGACAAAGCTAAAACCTTCCTGAAGAAAAAAGTATTGGTTCTATCGGGTCATATGATATGTAAAATTAAAGATAAATGAGTGCAGAATAAATATAAACTATTTAAGTGTCAGTATTACAACAAAATATTATACAATCACACAACATTCAAGGATGTTAGACACATATGAAGATTATTTACATAGAAAAATGTTGTGCTTACCTTACTTTTTTACTTGTTCAACGACACTGCTTTCCAATTCTAAGAATTTACATGCCTTCTCTGTTCACTTCTGTATCAGCTAGTCTTTATTTGAATCAGTTAATTCAAATACTTTGGATGTTATGATCATTTTTGTATGACATGTTATATTTCACAACAACCGAAAATCGGGAAACAGCTGATCGAAACAGATGATCCGATTCAAATATTTTGTTCAGTTTTCAAATCCCAAACTAAATTATCACCAGTAGGTTGGTCACTTAGATATCAATGATGATATCAAGACTATTGTCACCATCTGGCAGATATTCATCAACGACAGAGCAGTATGAATAGTTTTAGACCTTTTCTGTTATCATTTGGTACAGAAAAAAATCACGTAAAATTTGTATCACATCTAAATAATTTTTTTTTAATCAAAAAGTGATGCAAAAGCCATACGGAACATCACAAACAAAAGGACTTACTTTTGCTAATCTTAGTTTTAAAAAAAATTTGCAAATTCATTTTTCCCTGTGAACGGAACAAATTAAAGTGTCTCTGTGATTCGCCAGTATACTGGTGAATAGTCTGATTGGGATAAATTTAAAAGCCAGTTAACTGGTGAGTAGTCTTCAAAGAGTTAAGTGCTTGCAGTTGTCCACAGTATAAAATTACACTATAATGACTGCAGAAAATATTAAAACATGCACACGTCTTAGTTATAATAACCATTATCAGGAACAACATAAACTAAGAGAACATTGTTTCACAAGTGAAAACCAGAACAGTGAAAAGATTTTCTGACTCAGGGCTACAAACAAGCATAATTGCCACTCCACCATAACTGCTCCTGAAATATCAGTAATGATAAATTATGTTTCACAAAATCATAATGTTATCGTTTTACATGAATCCAGGTGCTTTTATTCTGCTGAATAATTAAAGCCATGAGTCTCCTGTGACCTGAAACTGAATTTAATACATTCCTGTTTCGCTTTTGTTTGGTGATTACTTGAGAGTGCTGTCTCTTTTGTCATGTTTATGCAGCCATTTTCTTGCATTGAAGTTTTCAAAATGTTGGGCTTTCAATATATTGTGAAAATATTTTGTGTAAATGTGTGTGTGTGTATGTGTATCCGTATATATATATATATATATATATATATATATATATATATATATATATATATATATATATATATATATATATATATATATATATATATATATAATTCTTCTATTTCATTTCAGTTTGCTTCAGTAATTTACATTTTTATTCTATTAGGAACCTGTCATATTCTTCATCATCCAGAAACATGCATTGATTATCAGACCATTTGTCTTTAACCATTAATTATTTATTATTTTATGGACTTAATGGCTTAGAAGAATATTTTTTAAGATACAGCAAGTTTAATTTTAGCATTATAAATTGGACATCATGAGATGGGAATTCACTTCCAATAGAGATGCTTATTAATTCATTGAAAAGTTTATATATGTATGAATGAAGAATGAATGCAAGTTTGCAAAGTGTTTGAATTATGAAAGAACTTAAATCATGCCATGAAAATATACAAAAGGGGTGTATCTAAATTTTAAAAATTATTTTGGTTTCTGTAGGACCTTTGAACAATTTGATTTATATGTTAAAAGTTGGCTGCATTTGTGTCTTTAGTTTTCAGGGTAGGGTACAAAAGATCAGTAACATTTCATTCATAGACATAGTCTGGTGAGACTTTTTTTTATAACAGTAATTGAAAACTACTGTGATAGGTTGTAATAAAAGTTCAATCTTTGGTTTGGTCAAAAAGTGTGGATTGGATGAATGTAATAGAAATGTTTCATAGTGGCATACTTATGACAGTGTTTAGTGATGTGATGGAATAGTGAAAGAGACTAAATTATTATAGGGTCATACTTTGATTAACAGCAGTTTAACAATCATCTGATGGTATTGCATGTCATTTTCCTGTCATTGCTGTGTGGGTTCTGGAGCCCTGGCTAAACCCACTGCTTTCCTACCTCCTGACAAAGATGGGCGCAGCGCAACTCATGAAAGTCACCCCTTCTTGTTGGCCATAGGATTTTCTAGGGAATTTCCTGGGTCACTTTTATAGTCTAGGGTTGTCATGTGTTCCTCGTTTTGAATATTTTAAGCACATCCACCGCCCATGCCAGTCGCCACCAACAAGCATAAAAATACAAACACATCCCTGATTCAATACTCACAAATTGTCGCCTCTTCGGCACTTCCCCATGCAGGATTTCTTCCTTGCAAACAGACACCTTCGGCACCTGAGACCTACTCAACTCACAACAACAGCACATTCCAGAAACAACAGTCATCCATAGAAAAAAGAGTTGGGCAAAGAAACAGACACTTTCATCAGGGAGACAGCGCATTGACCACATTGAATGAACCCAAGCAACTTTTCTGCATGCTGTGTGTAGACCGGAAGGAAGACATCTCATAACATGCCTAAAAAGTAGGACAGCCTGTAGGAACTGCTACCAAATCTCATGGCTGACTAAATGGGGTGACTTTCATGAGTAGTACCCAAAGATGTCATAAAAGAGGACTAATTAGGGCTTTGCTGAAAATGGATTGGTTAAGCCAAAAGTCAGATGTTGCAGCCTAGCTATAAAACACAACAAAAGTGCCAACTGCTGAATAGAAGGTGAACACAGAAGTTATAACCAAAACAAAATTATCTTTCTTTTTAATGGCATCAGGCAGGTGGAAGGGATCTACTCAAGCGAAGCTGGAAAGGTTTTGCAGAGCATATCAAGCTAGAGGTGAGATCACAGAATACTAGCTTAAAACATGACATCTCTTCACACATAACTTTATCATCACACAAAGACTTTCTTGAGACAATGACTTTCTCATCACACATAATGTCTCATTACACATAACTTTCTCAGCACACATGCCTTTCTCATCACACATGATTTTCTCATCACACATGATTTTCTCATCACAAAGGCCTTTCTCATTTAAGATGACTTCCTCATTACACTAGATCTCTAAACACACATTTATTTTATCATATGTGACTTTCTCATCACACATGACCTTTATCACACATTTCTTTTTTCATTACACATGACTATCTCATCATGCGTGACTTTCTCAACAAGCATGCTTTTCTCATCACACATGATTTGCATATCACACATGACTTTCTCATCACTTTCTTGGTTGTTTCTCATCACACTTGAATATTTCATCACACATGACTTTCTTATCACACTTGACGATCTCTACACAAACAATGTTTTCATCACACATGACTTTCTCATCACTTTCTTGGTTGTTTCTTATCACACTTGAATATCTCATCGCAGATGACTTTCTCATCACACTTAATAATCTCTACACATACTAAATTTTCCTCACACATGACTTTCTCATCACACACGACTTTCTTATCACAAATGACTTTCTCCTCAACAATGTCTCATCTCACGTGACCTAGACACAACTTGCTCACACCTTTCTCATCACATATAACTTTCTCATCACACATGACAGTCTAATCACACATGATTTTTCTCTCCATTGAGCTTTCTAGTCACATTTGATGTTGTATTTAGCACTGGATGATACCAATAGGATGATACCATCAAGCAGATGATAGAAAGAGTATTTTGTAGAACCATTGTGAAGATGGCAGTTGATTGTTTGATTGATTCATTGATTGATTTGTTTAAATTGTGCTTGTTTTCCTTGCAGTGCGATGGGATTGATTTAACTCAGAAGATCCAGGATATGAAGTTACACTGTCTGCTTATTCTCAACATTCCAAGGTATTTGAATACACATGGATTAGTTGTTTTTTTTCTTCTTTCTTCATATTTGCTATAGTTCTGTGAGTAAAGTAATATTTCATTGCTAATGAATACCTGTGTAAGCTTTTGAGTCTCCATCTATAGGTCACACATGGAGAATTTCAGTAAAGTATTTGAACTCTACAGATGAGCAGTGATCCAAATGTGTAAATCTTCTACTTCTTCAGCATTCTGAGCCCTTGAGGTTCATTGTTGCAGATATCACCCGCCTCCATTCATCTCTCTGGTTGGCCTCTTTCCAGTTGGTGATACCAAGTGTTTGCAGGTCTGTCTGGACATTATCTCTCCATTAACTTCTTGGTCTGCCTCGTGGTCTAAGACCATTCATCTCCCTTGTGTATTCAGTGTTCACTTCTCTGTCATCTGACATTCTCCCGTTATGCCTCAGCCATTTCATTCTGTTAGCCCTCATGATACCAGTTATCAATGGTGATTTAAACAGATTATGAATTTTGTTGTTGCTTCTCTCTCTCCATTCTCCGCTGTTCACATCTTTGATAGGTCCAAAGATTCGTTGAAAGACTTCAAATTTGTAAATACCAAAATGAAATGCTAAAAATAGAAAAGACCCACTGTTCCCTAACAAGTAATTTGTAAATGGGAAAAGGCAACTTAGTTAGGGATTTGTTGGGCTGAAAGGCACATATGTTGCAGTTTAGTTAATCTCCATCCCAATATAAAACACAATTTTTTTTTGTAAATTTTTTTTTTTAAAGCCGCACCCCAGCTGTCATCAGAGCCCTAAATATAACCTGTGGGTTTCTGGGACTTGCGCCCTGGTGATTCTCACTGGTGAGAATGGTGGCACTTTATGTCACCTGGTGATTATCACTCGTTGTGGGGTTGAACGTCAGTCAGACAATCAGTCAGATATTGCAATCTAGCTGTAAACCACAACACAGTGTACCTACTGAATGCAAAAGAAGAGGAAGAAAATACTTCAGCTATGTTAAATGACATCATTGTTTTGAGAGAACATCTGTAAATACTCATGCTGTTCCTTTGCCCGCTATCTCTGCTTAGTCCAGACTTCAGATTACTTTGTAACTGTCGAGAGTCCCAATATTACCTTATAGTTAAACTTAGGTACTGTCAAGAATCTCAGTTTAACCTTAAGGTTGAACTTAGGTTACTTTATAACTGTCAGGAATCTCAATATAACCTTTAGATTGAACTTAGGTTCCTTCCAAAAGAGGATAACCCAACATATTTGGTAGTAAAATTTGACAAAAGGCTAACATGGGGCCCCCACATTTAAGACACCCAAAGGAAAGCTACCCTGAGTCTCAGACTTATGAAGAAACTTACTGGAACAAGCTGGGGTGCAGATGCCAACACTGTACGACAAGTATACACAGGATACGTATGACCAAAACTGGAGTATGGTATTGGAGCATACTCCACTGCAGCTAAATCAAACCTACACAAACTGGATAAAATACAGAACACTGGTCTCAGAATCATCACTGGAGGTATGAGAAGCACACCAATTAATGAACTGGAGGCAACCTTTGGCCTCGAGAGCTTGAGCCTTCAAAGGGAAGAAAAGGTGCTTACCCTAACAGAAAAATGTAAACGCATGAACAACAACCCCATGCACAGAATAGTAAATAACCTAACCAAAAACCGGCTACTACACAAAAAACAGTGACATCCTTTCTAAAGATCCTTCAACATGGGAAATGATCCAGGCATACAGCATAGACCTACAGCCTAAATATACAGTCACAACAACAATTCCAGGCGTAGACAGAAAGGCTGAAGAGTGTGACCTAGTACTGCGTGCAAAGACCCTTGAACATGTCTACAACTTTTATCCAAAACCCGAATGGACACATGTTTACACCGATGGATCGTTGGAGGGAGCAGACAAAAATGGAGGAGCTGGATCAGTCATTGTGCTACAAGATGGGACCACAGTAGAAACGTCATACGCCTCCAGAAAACTCTCAACAAACTTCAGAGCAGAGCAGCAAGCAATTATTGATTCAGCCAAAGTGCTTGGGAAAAGGAAAACTAAAAACAGCACAATTGTTTTCTTTTGTGACTGCATGTCAGTCCTCCAGGCGACTCATAGGGATCCACAAGACAACATGGAAAGAGAACTGACCCGTCAGCTAAACAGACTCACAGAAAACAATCAAATTGTTCTCCAGTGGATCCCGGCTCACTGCGGCATACCAGGAAATGAGTTAGTAGACAGACTTGCAAAAAATGGAACAAAGGAGAAACAACACGCCCATTCATTGTCATTACCAAAAATCAGAACAATTATTAAAGGAACATACAAGGGATTGTGGAGAGAACAAACTAACAGTAAACATCCACAAGACCCCATCAGCAGACTCAACAAAAAGCAACATACAACAATTTTCCATCTATGATTAGGACACTGAAGGCTCAACTACCACATGCATAAAATAAAGATTGTACAGTCCCTGCAGTGTGCCTGTCAGACAGGACCCCAAACACCTGAGCACATTTTGCAGACCTGCCCACTCTACCTGCAACTTCGAAAAGACACCTGGCCTCAAGAGCAAAGTGTGCAGAGCAAGCTATGGGGAACCATGCAGGACCTGCAGCTGACATGCGAGTTCATAGAGGCAACCCACCTGATGGTCTGATCTGAGTATAAGAAACCGAACGCAAAGAAGAAGAAGAAGAGAACTTAGGTTACTTTGGAACTGTCAGGAATCTCAATATAACCTTAAGATTGAACTTAGGTTACTTTGTAACCATCAGGAATCTCAATATAACCTTGAGGTTGAACTTAGGTTCATTTATAACTGTCAGGAATCTCAATATAACCTTAAGCTTCAACTTAGGTTACTTTGTAGCTGTCAGGAATCTCAATATAACCTTAAGCTTCAACTTAGGTTACTTTGTAACTGTCAGGAATCTCAATATAACCTTGAGGTTGAACTTAGGTTCCTTTATAACTGTCAGGAATCTCAATATAACCTTAAGCTTCAACTTAGGTTACTTTGTAACTGTCAGGAATCTCAATATAACCTTAAGGTTGAACTCAGGTTACTTTGTAACTGTCGGGAGTCCCGATATTACCTTATTGTTAAAATTAGGTTACCCAGTAACTGTCAGGAATCTCAATATAACATTAAGGTTGAACTTAGGTTACTTTGTAACTGTCAGGAGTCCCAATATTACCTTATTGTTAAACTTAGGTTACTTTGTAATTGTCGGGAGTCCCAATATTACCTTATTGTTAAACTTAGGTTACTTTGTAACTGTTGGGAGTCCCAATATTACGTTATTGTTAAACTCAGGTTACTTTGTAATTGTCGGGAGTCCCAATATTACCTTATTGTTAAACTTAGGTTACTTTGTAACTTTCAGGAGTCCCAATATTACATTATTGTTAAACTTAGGTTACTTTGTAACTGTCAGGAATCTCAATATAACCTCAAGGTTGAACTTAGGTTACTTTGTAACTGTCGGGAGTCGCAATATTACCTTATTGTTAAACTTAGGTTACTTTGTAACTGTCAGGAATCTCAATATAACCTCAAGGTTAAACTTAGGTTACTTTGTAACTGTCGGGAGTCGCAATATTACCTTATTGTTAAACTTAGGTTACTTTGTAACTGTCAGGAATCTCAATATAACCTCAAGGTTAAACTTAGGTTACTTTGTAACTGTCGGGAGTCGCAATATTACCTTATTGTTAAACTTAGGTTACTTTGTAACTGTAAGGAATCTCAATATAACCTTAAGGTTTAACTTGACAAGAGCTTAGAGTTTTGTATGTGTAGGATTCTCAGATTCTGAGGTTTTCATTTTGGAAAATGCAATCCTGGAGGGGACAACAAACCCACTTTCTCTCACTTTCTCTGTCTGTTTCTCTGTTTCTCTCTCTCTCTTTCTCTCTCTCTCTCTTTCTCTCTCTCTCTCTCTTGTCTCTTTCTCTCTGTCTCTGTGTCTCTCTCTCCCTCTCTTTCTCTCTCTCCCTCTCTTTCTCTCTCTCCCTCTCTTTCTCTCTCTCCCTCTCTTTCTCTCTCTCCCTCTCTTTCTCTCTATCTCTGTCTCTCTCTCACCCACTAACACAATGTTTAGGATAAAATCATAATTTAACATGGTTTTTATTTTTCAGCACAGCGCCTGTAGTTTATTTCCTAAACATTGCCGCTTTAACACTTTGCATTCATCAGATATGCCAGTGGTACATTACCCTGGGGAAATCCAAATGCAGTGGGATTTGAACCCCAGACCCATGATGATGGCAACTTAGAGGTTATAGGGTTTACCTACTCGTCACTGGTAAGAATTTCATTCTATTGTTCATCATTATGTCATAGAAAATACACTGAAAACTGTTCACACTGGCCTAGGCTATCATCCAGTCTTATCTCGCCCTCATTTTTACTGGGACAGTCCACTTTTATCTTATTTTTATTTATTATTTACATGTGTGTGCGTGTTTGTGTATGTGTATTTGCTTTGCCCTCTAAAGGTTGTGAGTTCATTTTACAGCTTTGTCCTTCAGTTCACGCTTGCAATTTTTACGGAGACCCATGGGGGTTGTCGCTGGAGCTATTATGTTTGTGCTTTTTGTTGCACTCTCAGTAGGCAGCCAGGGGGACCGAGCCTTATGGGATCAAACCTGGTGCAACAAAATTGATCCTGTTAATTTCAACTTAAATTTTATAGATGCATTTGTATATGTGTGTGTGTGTGTAATTCATATTTATTTTGTCATCCACTAGCACAGCTGTCTTGCATTATTTAAATTACATTCCCTAAAATATAAGTGAAATGAAGTAGAGTGTTTTCTCCCATCTCTTAAATGTATTTGACCAGGGCTGGGCTAACCCTAGAACATGTGCAGTTCTTAATTAACTATGTATTAAACCCAGACCACATGTCTGGCAAATGTTTTAGTAACAGTCCTACAAACAAATAATAACCACCCATCCAAGATGGGAGAGGCTCTTATAGAAGAATTATGAGGCAGTAAAGAGAAAGCTGGAAAATTTCCGGAACTGGCACATGTGATGTCTTGAGGGAAAAAACAAAGGCAGACCAAATAGTCCATAAAGAAGGAGTTAAGAGAATAAGGTGACATAGAATCCTCTTCTGACTGTAAAATCTGGTGGAAAGTCCTAGTTCTTCATCCACTCCTGGACTTTTATCTTGATCCAGAACTTGAGTTTTGCATGCACATCTGTTTTACAGATGTGACTTATTTGTATGCAGACTGTTGGTTCCTTGGTGAAGAGGATATGGGCTAAAAAGTAGGACAGCTGTCTCAGTTCATTGAGGACTTATACTTAAAAGGCAGATGAACAAGATAATAATAAGTGACTCAAATATTTTCCTAATGAAATTGTCCCTAAGATGGAGACAGGCATGTTCTGTGCAGAGAGGCAAGCATTGTCTCCAAGGTCTCGGGTAGTTTGCATCCTTTTTCTCCTGGTCATGCTGGTGTGTTGGAAAACGAGCAAGTCTATAGATGGGCTGGTTGGACCACTTGGTGGTAAACTGATGTATAACAAGCTTGTTGTTATGTGGGCCCTTTGTAGGTGAGTGAACAGTATGGAGGCACTAATAGATCATTTTGGTCTAAGGAGAATGGGGCTGTGGGGAGTTACCAGGAAATCTGGCTAATGCTTGACACTCAGGGAAAGGCCAGATGGATGTACAATCAGACAGTTACTGGTACGATCAGAATTTAAATTCTTCACTTGCTGCTGAAGATGAGGATGAAGTGCTTATGAGACTTTCCCCAATTGCTACGATGTTGATTCTTAATTCAACATTCAAGGAATTTCTCCTGGGGTATCTAATGTTTAGAAACGTGTTTCCTCAACATGTCTAGGCAACTCTGCACGTGGGGGGACATGGGGAGAGGTTGATGCAATGTCGGCAGGTCCGGTTGACCACCTACAAGTCCATGCCTATGCAAGTGGATGGAGAGCCCTGCAGGCTGCGGCCATCACATGTCAACATTACATTCCGCAACCAGGCCAACATGATTGTCAAACCAAAACGTCGAGGTTCTGTGCCTATTGTTAATGAGTAAGTATCTTTACAGCCTCTTCCTTTTCTCATGCTGTTTTTTTTTATCTCTTCTCCATGTTCTATATCTACTGCTCCTCCTCCACCTGAACTTCTTCTTCTGCTCTGTCTCGTCCTCATTCTTCTCCACATTCTTTTTCTGCTTTCTCTGCATCAGCAAAGCTGAAATGTGCGCCTTATACAATGTGGTGTTCATTTATCCAGTATTTGTGATGTATTTTACTTTCTCTCTTGTTTTGTCTATGAGAGTGTTTTCTGCCTTACTCTGTCACATAAATACTACTTTCTCTTTTGCAATATCTAAAATATATTAATGTTTCTTTTGCTGTATTCCAGAGATACTGTTTTCTCCCTTGCTGTATCTGAGAGATATTATTTTCTTTCTTGCTAAATCTGAGAGATATTTCTTTCTCCCTTGCTGTATCTGAGATATATTTATGTTTCCCTTGCTGTATAACATAGATACTGCTTTCTCCCTTGCTGTATCTGAGAGATTCCTTTCTCCCTCGCTGTATCTGAAAGATATTCCTTTCTCCCTTCCTGTATCTGAGAACTGTTCCTTTCTCCCTTGCTGAGAGATACAGCTTGTGATTAACATTCTTTGTTCCATTTCCACTGCTGCCATAACCTTAAGTGCATTGAGTCCTTTTTACATTTCACCGCAACTGCCTCCACATGATCCCTGAAGAACAGGCTTCTCTCAAAAGTGATACCCAAGTACTCCAGTTTTCTTTCTCTTCTGATGTTTACATCATTAATTGTGAGACCTGGAACATCAGCTCTTACAATTCTGTTGTCCAAAGAGAACCATAAAACAGCCACATTTTCTAGGTTGATGACAGCACCCATTTCTGCACACCAGTCAGTCACTTTGTCTACAGTTGCCTGTGTTCTTGAGCTGTCTGTTGCTCCCTTGCCAATATGCAAGAACATCATCAGCAAATGTCAGTATCCTTCCAACCCCTGATGCTTAAGGTTCGGCAATACTGCTTGTATACATATTAAAAGCGGTAATTCTGGGGCGATATTTCATGCTTCTGGGGGGGGAGGGGGGGGGGGGGGGCATGTACCCAGGTGGATGGTGACATTTCGTTAGTGCAGGACAGCTGCTATCCTGTTCACCAGCCAGGGACACACCCCCTTCTCCATGAGCGCAAATATCATATCTGACTCTATTGTGGGTGTCCTCAAAATCAAGAGTCACCACCACTACCTCCTGTCTATTCTGGAACCACTCATAAACATCAAAGGCAAAAGTGGCCGCAATTGACCAGGTATTTTCCCCCTGGCTAGTAACTGCCTAGACCTCTTGGCAAGAGCTCTTTTGTTTCTAAAAAAACAAAAAAGCATGATAGCAGTTATCATTAGTAGTGACATTTTAGTTTCTGGGACCGCATATCAGTAACATTATAGTTTCTGGGACTGTATATCAGTAACATTTTAGTTTCTGGGACTGAATATCGGTAACATTTTCATTTCTGGGACTGAAAATTGGTAACATTTTAGTTTCTGGGACTGAAAATTGGTAACATTTTAGTTTCTGGGACTGAAAATTGGTAACATTTTCATTTCTGGGACTGAAAATTGGTAACATTTTAGTTTCTGGGGCTGAATATCAGCAATATTTTAGTTTCTGGGACTGAATATCAGCAATATTTTAGTTTCTGGGACTGTAAATCAGTAACATTTTAGTTTCTGGGACTGTATATCAGCAATATTTTAGTTTCTGGGACTGAATATCAGCAATATTTTAGTTTCTGGGACTGTAAATCAGTAACATTTTAGTTTCTGGGACTGTATATCAGTAATATTTCAGTTTCTGGGAGACATACCAAATGCCCATAGTCTGATTCATTGATGCGACAGAACGAAGGCCAGGAATGACCTGAAAAACTCCATATATAGTCCTGATTTCACTTTTTTCAGTCCTCCTTCGTCTGTGCCAGAACGTTTAAGGATCCAAGTGAGCCGGATTGGCATGACGGATTACGAGTCCCTCAATTTTGACAAGGATAAACTGCGTAAAGCTTGTAAGTTTGATGGTGGTAAACTTTTGAAGTCTTAGTTACATACTTCTGGTTACTTTAACTTAGGGAGCCAATGTGGGGCAGTGGCTAGAGGCTTGCCTGTCTGATTGAAAGTCATGTGTTTGAATCTGTATTGAGACATATTTTTGTTATAACTTAGTGGGCTTCCACATTGAAGCAGCCTTAAATGGGCACCAGGAAATATCCTGGGAAGTAAAGGGGACCAGCATTTTATTGACCAAATACGTCACTTATTGAGTGTTAATGGTGTATTAATATATGGGTCTAGCTCCATAAGGCTGATGTGCAAATAGGGTATCACAACAGTTTTCTCAAGGCTCAGTCTCTAAAGGCTCAGGTGGCTGGGTCACACTTGGAGAATAGACGATGGTAGGGTCCCTAAGAATATCCTCTGTGGTGAGTTACAGATGGGTAGAATCTGTCGAGGTTGGCCTCTACTGCGATATTCAGATATGTGCAAGTGGGATTGAACGATACAGATATTGAGGTAGATTCATGGAAACAAAATGCCAAGGACTGTGTTGAATGGAGGGGACAAATCAGGAAGGTAATTAAAGGAAACAAATTATTACAGAAAGGTTGAGAGCTCAGCATCTCAGAAAAAGTGCACTAACTAACATCATCACTATACTGTAGCAGGTCCTTGTAGAATGCTTCTGTCATCACAGACTGCTGCCTGAAAGAAACTGGGTCTCTCACCACCTTTCCTACCTCATGCACTTTTATCTCCAAAGAGTCACTTGTATCCTGTGCCCATCTTCATGTTGGTCAGCCCCTGCCCCTCTTTCCAGGTACAATACCTTCTGCTTTTATTTTTTATTTTTTTTTTAAATTTCTCTTGGTGCCAAGGCCACAATTGTTGAGTTTCTATGATGTAACAATGAGTATATGTAACATTCCATGCACAAATAGCGGAAGACTTTTCCTAACTTGGGCTAGTCTTGCTGGTCACTCTCGCCACCGCCATGATTCCCATGCCTCCCCATAACACAGTATAACACTATCATCTGAAAAGACAGAAAGGTGCCAAACAAACAAACAAACACTATGAGATGAGAAGGGTACTTTATCTTTAACTTGTCGAAGGGAAACACTATGTTCTGCAGTGAGACCAACAAAATCATCAGACTGTTATTGATCTAAATACTCATACTCACAGCCAGATTCCTGTTCCAAAAACTGATTATTCTTTGCACATCCCTTTAACAGGTCTGACTAATTTTGCATGCCTACTATTGGTTCCTTGCCTCTCAAGCAGATGTACTTCAACTTCGAAGGAAGCTCCCAATTAGTCGACTCCTACGACATGCCTTTGGGCAGGTAGTGGGTCTATTCTTGTTCTCCCCACAATTTGGCCCTGGAACCCACACATGGAACAAACTGATTGATTGACAACATGATTATATTAAAAACTCTCTGTCATTAGTGGCACCATTTTCAGCCTTTTTCTTTAAAAACGTCTTGTTTTGTCATCCTTTTCTGAAGTAATCATTATCTGCATCCTGTGGCGTTAGTCATGTGATTCATCATCTAATTATGTTAGTTGCCTGGGATAGAACTGAATGGAGGAATAGACTGGGAATCACTTGAAACATATACATGGTACAGCAAGACAGTGATGCTGTTCCATTAGTCATCTTCCCTCTAGTGACCTAATCATCTGTTACATCCTTGCATTTCATCAACTTCTTGTGTTGACTTCATCATTCTTGCGATGATGCACAACCAACTGGATTCTGATCATTTACCCTGGTACTGGTCAGTGTGTGAAGTATTCTTTCCTGTTTGCAGCCATGCCACTGGGTATTATTGTAGTGGACAACAATGCTGACCTGGAGCAAGTGAGAGAAGAGATCAACAAGATGCAGTCTGTAAGTCTATCAGATTTTCATTTGTCTATACATGGAACGTGCCTGTCAAGTTTAGAAGATTTTTGTGTGTCTGTCTGTGTATGTTGTTCGTGGCTCTGTAATTCTATCAGATCTTCTCTTGCCTGCCTTTGTAACCTGTCCTTTGGTCTTTAAGTCAAAGACTTTCTGTCTGTGTATACTGTCTTTTATTACATAAGTCCAACAAAAAATTTGTCTGTGTGTATAACTTGTCCCAGGCTCTGTAAGTCTAGAAGATCTTTCTTTGTCTATCTGTGCAATGTATCATGAATTCTGAATGTTTAGCAAATCTTTTGTGTGTCCATATAACTTGTCCATGTGTCTGTAAGTTTAGCAGATCTTATGTCTGTGTGTGTAACTTGTCCCTGGCACTGTAAATTTAGCAGATCTTTTGTCTGTGTGTGTTCAACTTGTCCCTGACTCTGTAAGACTAACAGATTTGTTGATTGTCTATGTAACCTGTCCCTCATTCTGTAAGTGTATAAGATCTTTTTCCTGTCCATGTAACCATAAAGAAGAGTGCTGAGAACACCAACCTAATTTTGAGCTTTCCTGAGACCAGTTAATGCCAGGAATGAAGTTTATCCTCTACATAGCACAATGCCTGGGCAGTATTGTAGGGACCATATGTAGCCCATGCATTATTATCCCCCTCTTGGCCTGCCTTGTTTACTCCAAAGAAAAGGTAACATTAGTATGTTTGAAACAAGGCATACTGCAGAAGCTTGACCAGCATGTATTCGTTTGCATAATAAAGAGTCACCAGGTGTATCCTGATCCTGCAAACTTGATAGTCATTTGATTAAGTTTGTGATATATTACACAAAATACAGTCCGTGTCAGCCACATGTCTGGATTCCAGGGAATGGTGTGCTGTGGAAATATTTTTTCTCATCTCTGCTAGTTTTTTACTTTTCATTTCCAGAACATTCTTTCATTATTGTGTTAATGCTTACCTTGTTAGCGCAGTAGACAGAAATCTAATTGTATTCTTCAATATATAATATTAAAAAAATTTTACAATTAAAAAAAAATCAAATATTTCTGTAAGAAACCAAATAAGTACAGGTTCAGTCCAATCTTTTTAGGATGTGTGACTTTTGTTTCTCAAAAATTAGAAATGCATTCAGATGAGACAAACATATGGTAATTTTGTCTGCAGCAGTTTGTGTTCATCTGAATGATGTAAATGTCGTCTTTAATAAAACCGTTATCATCATGTAAGTCAAAGTAAAGTAAAGGGCCCTTTTTCACACTATCAGGTGTGTTGAGCAAATAGGGCTAGACCTATATTTATAGACCAATCGGTACTCAGTGGTGATGTGGTCAGCATCACGCTGGCCACCTTTATTTCCCAGGACTTTACCTGGTACCATTTTAAGGCTGGGTCGACCTGGGAGCTTAGATCATTTTTTGAAATAAGTCTGGTACTGTCAAGACCTGAACCCTGATATTTCGATCCTCAAACAAGCCTCTAGCCGCTATACCATGGCGACCCCTTCATCATCATATGCTGTACCTATTATGTTGGCTAACATGTTTCATCGATTAATATCACCAGAATCAGGTCAGTGTTTTGCTCTCACCCTATCTATATAACCAAGCCAGCTAGGTATTGATCCCTTTGTTTTCCATTGGCCATATTTCCATCAGTCTTGCCAGTCATTACAAGGCTCTTGAGTCTGTTCCTTTTGATAACATGTCTGAATGTGGTGTGTGTTTCTTCTCATTGTCTAGGTAGTGTTCATGCGTGTGTGGTGGATGTTCTCCTCACACGCTCCACGTTACACAACTGGCACAAGCCGACACCTATGAGAGCTTACGAGACATGAGTTTATTGACGTATTTACACTTACATAAAAGAGGTCCTGTCGTTGTCCTAGTAAACAGCTTTCGCACACAAACTCACGCAGCCTTCAGTGAGCAGTCTTCTTCAAGCATTCACAGACCAAAGTCGGCTCCCATGGATTCACGTTGAGGTTCTGGCCATCTCGCACACTGGCATGGTCGATCTCGGCTTCCCACTTCGTCGGCAGGGTCTCCTTTCTCCACAAGCACTCTCACGTTGGCATTCTCACTTTCAGTCGTACGTCCTCTCACTCCAACAGGTCGACACAAACTAACTTGACCAGAGTCAAGTCTGACTTATACCACAGGTTAATTTCACATGACAACACGTGGTGGTCCTTTACTTTTCACGTGGCGACCTTTGGTCGCATTCCCGTGGTACCCGTGACAACTAGCGGTCATCACCTATCTCAAGATTCTCGTTTAATCCGAGTATCTGGACTATCTCGGTGTTTTAGGTCAGCTTTGGGCCTTCCCCCCAACCATCCTAATCTGGGTGAAAATATCCCCCATTGCACTGAAAATCACCAGCTTCACATAACACCAGCTTCACATAACACCAGCTTCACATAACACTATGATTGACTATTTATCTTCCAGCATTTTCAGAATGGTGCAAGTGAGACTCTCAGCGCTGTCAGATTATCATCTCAGTGGTGTTTTCTGGATTGTAAGTTACTGTTATTTTTGTGAGTACTGTAGGCCTTAGTATTATGTTAAATAAGAAGGTCAGCTGTTAACACAAATAGTTTGTGGAATAGTGTGGGGACAGAAGCCTTCAGAGATTACAGAGGACTTGTGGAATTGTGTGCGGACAGAAGCAATGAGAGATGACGGAGGACTTGTGAAATAGTGTGGAGACAGAGGCAATGAGAGATGACAGAGGACTTGTGGAATAGTGTGGGGATAGAAGCCTTCAGAGATTACAGAGGACTTGTGGAATAGTGTGGAGACAGAAGCCTTCAGAGATTACAGAGGACTTGTGGAATAGTGTGGGGATAGAAGCCATGAGAGATAAATAGTGTGGAGATATAAGCTATGAGAGATGACAGAGGACCTGTGGAATAGTGTGGAGACAAAAGCCAAGAGAGATGACAGAGGGCCTGTGGAATAGTGTGGAGACAGAAGCCATGAGAGATGACAGAAGACCTGTGGAATAGTATGAAGACAGAAGCAATGAGAGATGACAGAGAACATGTGGAATAGTGTGGGGACAGAAGCCTTCAGAGATAAATAGTGTGGAGACAAAAGCCAAGAGAGATGACAGAGGGCCTGTGGAATAGTGTGGAGATAAAAGCTATGAGAGATGACAGAGGACCTGTGGAATAGTGTGGAGATAAAAGCTATGAGAGATGACAGAGGGCCTGTGGAATAGTGTGAAGACAGAGGCAATGAGAGATGACAGAGGACTTGTGGAATAGTGTGGAGACAGAGGCAATGAGAGATGACAGAGAACATGTGGAATAGTGTGGGGACAGAAGCCTTCAGAGATAAATAGTGTGGAGACAGAAGCTATGAGAGATGACAGAGGACCTGTGGAATAGTGTGAAGACAGAAGCAATGAGAGATGACAGAGGACTTGTGGAATAGTGTGGAGACAGAGGCAATGAGAGATGACAGAGAACATGTGGAATAGTGTGGGGACAGAAGCCTTCATAGATAAATAGTGTGGAGACAGAAGCTATGAGAGATGACAGAGGACCTGTGGAATAGTGTGAAGACAGAAGCAATGAGAGATGACAGAGGACTTGTGGAATAGTGTGGAGACAGAGGCAATGAGAGATGACAGAGAACATGTGGAATAGTGTGGGGACAGAAGCCTTCAGAGATAAATAGTGTGGAGACAAAAGCCATGAGAGATGACAGAGGGCTTGTGGAATAGTGTGGAGACAGAAGCCTTCATAGATAAATAGTGTGGAGACAAAAGCCATGAGAGATGACAGAGGGCTTGTGGAATAGTGTGAAGACAGAGGCAGTGAGAGATGACAGAGGACTTGTGAAATAGTTGTATATATAATGCATAGACTATTTCTATTAAACTTTCTGTTCTGAGATCTCCACAGTCATCACTGTACAGATTATGTGGAAATTCTCTGTTCAGATGTCCTTGTCTTAACCATTATACAGTTGTATGTATGGAATTTGTGATAAAATATTCTGGTTATTAGACGAATACAATTAATCAGTAACGACCAGTTGTATATCAGTGAAATATAAAATATTTGTGTGTATGTGTGTGCTTCATTATATGTTGATGTAGCTCTGTAGTAACGCACCCAACGAGATACAGTGAAGTATACCTGGCAATAAACTGTGCAATGTATTGTTTGTGTGCATTATTTAAATTCATTATAAGAAAACATTTTTTTGAATACATTTTCTGTTCAGATATCCTCATCTTAATCATTGTACAGCTAAATGTATAGAGAGTTTGCTGGCATTTCTGTTCAGATATTCCCAATCATTGTACAGCTAAATGTATAGAGAGTTTGCTGGCATTTCTGTTCAGATATCCTCATCTTAATCATTGTACAGCTAAATGTATAGAGAGTTTGCTGGCATTTCTGTTCAGATATCCTCATCTTAATCATTGTACAGCTAAATGTATAGAGAGTTTGCTGGCATTTCTGTTCAGATATTCCCAATCATTGTACAGCTAAATGTATATAGAGTTTGCTGGCATTTCTGTTCAGATATTCCCAATCATTGTACAGCTAAATGTATAGCGGGTTTTGCTGACATTTCTGTTCAGATATCCTCATGAGAACCACTATACAGCTAACCATATTGACCATCTTTTGTTAAATCATTTATCTGCAGCAAGTTTATCAGCAACTAAATGAACATACAATTTGATTACAGCAACAACAGCTGAAAGATTTTTCCGGATTGACAAAGCTCAGGAAAGTCTTCACTACATCTCTGATATTTCATCGGAAGATTTATATGTCCTGGATGCAGAATTGACCCCAGCATCTTCTTTTTTAAGACCAGAATTTATTGCCACCAACGGACAAAGGGAGTTCACTCTGCAAGCAAATGATGCAGTTCCTGACAGCAGTGATAAAACTCTGACCTTGAACTTCACATTCCCTGTACCTGTGTCACCTCCCAAGTCTCCCACTCTTCTTCACCGCATTATGCCAAATACAATGTAAGTAATTTATTGTTAGGTGGTGGGGATATTATCAAAGTCCATTCTCCTAATGGTTCTTAAAAAAAAAGCATGATTATTTATATAAATATTGTGTGCATTTTGCTTGGGTCTCTGAGGTTGATTTTTGTTGTTGTTTCAGTTTGCTTTTAAGTTTAATTTGTTTCTAAATGCATAAAACTGTGTAGTTGTAATTGGCATTTTTCATCCTTCACCGAGATAACTAGTTGTGTATGCTCGGTTTATTTCAGCTCCAGTAGATTAAGTAGACTGTTTATGCTCTTGATTATTTAACCTGCCGTAGATTAAATGTGCTGTTTATGCTCTGGTTATTTAAACTTCCATAGATAAAATGTGTTGCTTATGCTGGGGTTATTTTACTTCACATAGATAAAATGCATTGTTTATGCTATGGTTAAATGCTGGGGTTATTTCACCTCCTATACATAAAATGTGTTGTTTATGCTATGGTTATTTTGTCACCCATAGATAACATGTGCTGTATATGCTGGGGTTATTTTACCTCCCATAGATATAATGTCTTATATATACTTGGGTGATTTCATCTTCCATAGATAAAATGTGTTTTTATGCTGTGTTTATTTTACCTGGGTTATTTCACCTCCTATAGATAAAATGTATTATTTATGCTGGTATTATTTCACCCCCATATATAAAATGTGCTGTCTATGCTGGTATTATTTCACCCCCATATATAAAATGTGCTGTCTATGCTGGGGTTATTTCACCTGCCATAGATAAAATGTGCTATTTATGCTGGGATTATTTCACCTGCCATAGATACAATGTGCTGTCTATGCTGGGGTTATTTCACCTGCCATAGATAAAATGTGCTATTTATGCTGGGATTATTTCACCTGCCATAGATCAAATGTGCTATTTATGCTGGGATTATTTCACCTGCCATAGATAAAATGTGCTATTTATGCTGGGATTATTTCACCTGCCATAAATCAAATGTGCTATTTATGCTGGGATTATTTCACCTGCCATAGATACAATTTTTTATTTATGCTGAAATTATTTCACCTCTATAGATAAAATGTGTTGTTTATGCTGAGATTTTTTCACCTCCCATAGATAAAATGTGTTTATGCTTTGATTATTTCACCTCCCATAGGTATAATGTGTGATATATACTTGGATTATTTCACCTTGCATAGATATAATGTGTGATATATCCTGGGATTATTTCACCTTCCATAGATAAATTTTGTGATATATCCTGGGGTTATTTCACCCTCCATAGATAAAATTTGTGATATATCCTGGGGTTGTTTCACCTTCCATAGATGAAATGTGCTGTTAATGCTGGGATTATTTTCACCTGCAATTGATAAAATGTGATGTTTACGCTTGGGTTACTTTTACTTCCCATGATACAGCTTCGTGTCCTCACCAAGAGTCAAAATATATGCATTCTGATGTGTGAGATCTCCATGGATGTAAGTGTAGTGGTTGAAATCAAGCAGAGAATTGCAAAGGCAAATGCTGCTTACAAAAGACTTCAGAATATCTGGAGATCAAACATCTACAGCACTAAAACTCAACTCAGGACTGACTGACTTTCTACCCCACCAGGACATCACACAAGCGTTAAACACCCGATGACACAACGTGACACCATGTGGGTGAGAATCACAGTGGAGAGGTCCCAGAAACCGCGTTTAGCCATTAGGCCATATCCATGGCCAGGCTATATTGCGGCCCCCGGCAATAGCCAGAGTAGGGCTTCAAATAACAAAAAATGTCATCCTAAAAACGACGGGAAGTTGATACTAACCTCTGTGATTTCAGAAGTTAATGTGTTTAATAATTTCTTCTGTTCAATAGAGAGACAAAGAATTATATAAACCATGCTTTAAGCCCAAATATTTAAACCATGTGGTATTATAAATTGTTTCCAAGTCTTAGCCTAGACAAAGAAATTAGTACTGACCAAGATTACATAATATTAGCCAGTCAGACTACCTGGGGAAACCAGAGTGTCATAAATGTTACATAAAAGGCCAGACTGGCATGTTTGAAGCTGCCAGATCAAGGGACGTAAGTCTGGCCAACAAGAAAGTCCAGCCAGTGTGTCTCCACAATTGGCAGGTTTTTCACACCTTTCCACTAGATTTGACCCTATTAATAAATTTTGGGTCAAAAAAACATTAGTCTCCCCACAGAAAGTAGGCCAAGTTCCATTGATAACTTTCTTGGACTGGTCTAACCTGCTGGACGTTATGGGTGTGCCACTCTGTTGTTTGCTTTCTGAGATGTCTTGCATTTACTTTTTTATTCCGAGAAAGAGAATGCCTGTGACATAGGTTTCATCACTCTCTATTGGGGGTTGCATGTTAGACCCAGTTTGTCGATGTTTTTGTAGTCTTAAAGGCGCTGAAATATCGAATATGCAATATTGGTTGCATTGGGGAAAACCCCCGTCACTTTGTGCTAAGGCTGGGTGGCTCGAGGTCAACCAATCAGAAGTGAGCTAGACTGAAGGTTGACCAATCGGAAGTGAGCATATATTTCTATTACCAAAGTGTGATTAGTAGGGGCAGTCAAGAATTGATTGAAAGCCATAATGAAGGCTAATTGCAGTTGGAGGTGCAGGTGATAACTTAAATCTCTCCCGTAGGACAGAGTTTGATATGGATACCAAATTACATGAGGGGAAAAGATTACTATAGCTGGGAGTTTAAATTTACTTCAGGTTGCAGTCCAGCATGCCATTAACTAAGTTCAACAGTGGAAATTAATTCTAGCTGTGTGAGTCTTTTGCTGGGCAAATTGCTGGAATTTTTCCAGTTCCCTTCGGGGGTAAGGACTAGTCAGCACTTCAAAGGCAGAGGGTCCAAGAACATGAACCTACATTGCGTGAGAGATTGGCAATCTGGGAGAAGCTAAGGAGGGCCTCAAGTCAAAGGCTCTTATTAAAAAGTTATGTTCAGTATTTTTGTTCGTAAACTCATCATCATCATAATAACATTACTTTAATCTCAGATGTTCAATTCTGTAGCTGAAGCATCTTGTTACCATCATACCATCAGCCAGTCCCTGTTTGTTTAAACAGTGTAAACAGACAAATGTCATCTAAACGATTGTTAGTATAATAAATCAGTTTATCAAGTTTTATACTACATCATTTGTTAAATTCCAAGTGTATTTGTTCTTACCTGTTTAACTAAACTGTCAGATAAAATTACATTTGGTTGGGGCTCTTTAATAATTCTTTACCAGGAGAAGGTCGTCGGGAGGGGTCACCTGTCCTGTCTAATAATACATTAATCAAAATAATCTAGACATCTAAAACCCCTTTCCTTCTTGTGTGGGTACCAAGTGCAGTTGCTGTGAATTTACATGACGAGCCAAATATGGCTGTTTTCTTGGATATCCAGAGATCAACATAGCTCGGATATTAGTCCAGTTTCTCCTGTAGAGGTGAAGTGTTGAGATTAAAACTCCTACTCATCACAAAAGCCTTTATCGATTCTGGGACTTGTGACAGTTATGCATTAGGACAGTTCTCATCTGTGGAGCAGAAACTTGGAAAACAGACAAAAAGATAAGAGAGCATGTTCAATGTTTTTGAGGTAATATTTCTCAGAAGATGACGATTATTTGATTTGAGGTATGAGGCAGATATCACTAATTTTTTTTTGATGATCACAAAACTACAGATAGCCCACATATACATAAAACATTACATGCTTATAACTCCATGAAGTTCCTGAGCAACCAGGGAATTCACTATTGTCCTGTATACCTTGACTAGTGTTCAAGTTAGCCACATCGAGAAGTGACTCCAGAGTTTACTGTAGCTGATGATTATGTTGTGGCACATATAACTACTTGCTCAAGGCAAGGCAAACATCCCCATATAACCTTCGTTTACTAAAAGATGTCTGTAGGTTTCACTCTTCGCTAATGATACAGATGTATACCGCAGTGCTGTTTCTTGTTGTAATTGTGACGTATATCAACATTTTACCATTTCGTAACAAATTGTCTTTGCATCAAAGACCAAGATATAATAATAATGACATTTTGAAATGTCACAAGTGTAAAATATCAGAACTTACTTATACCTACAACTACAGCTGTAATACAGCATACACATATTGTAGATCAGAGTGAGCAGCAAATGTTAAAGATTGGTGTTCGGATAATGTTGCAACAAATAATTGTATTAGTAGTTAAATATTAATAAACAAATTTATGGCATATTTAGAGAAATTAGTAGAATGAGATACATTTTTAACACTTACCTTCATCTGTGTTGATGACAGGTAACTGAACAAATGCAATATTTAAAAAATGCAGTCAAAATAGTGTGGGCAAGATACAGTGTCATATGTATTGTTTGTGTCCGTATTATTTCAGTTCATAAGGAAAAACGTTGTTTTGAAGTTTAATAATATCTTTAATTTTGGGGTAAAAGTACATTTTTACCATTTCTCTAACGCTGCAATTTGTAGACTATTAAGGTAAGCATAAATATTATGTGGTCTGTCTTTAAGATTGCGATGTTTAGTTCTCAATGCCACACGCATGGACTGAAAGAAGCCACATTCATATGCATGATCATTATTTTAACTACACTGTGGAAGTAGAGCGTTGATGTTGAGGTTATCAGTTGTTGGTCACTGTGCTCACAAACCAGAAAAGAAAATTAGTGAAAATGTTATCTGAGGAGGGCTGCAGGAGTGACCAGAAGAGATAACATTAGAAATAAGACTATCAGAGAAAAATTTGGCAGAGAACTAATTCTAAATTACATACAAAAACAGCAAATCAAATAATATGCCCACTTATAGAGAATGCGTTGTCACGACATACCTTACAAGGCATTCAGCAAAAGAGGAAAAGGGCATAAAGCTAAAAGTAAAATAAGAACAAGCTGGAAAGATAACATCAGGGAAACTCTACACCAGCATGATATGTCTATGGCTGAGGCACCCGGAAACACAAGTAGCAGAACCTTATATCTTCCTTGCTACCCAGAATGTTAAAACATGACGTGAACCAGGTCACAGTGTGGTGGAGTCTACTGACATTTTGCTGTCATTGTTTGAGTGAGAGTAAAAAGCTGATTTGTTGTTTTGAAAGTGGCAACAGTTGCTGATTACTCTTTAAAATGGGGCTAGTGTTAAAAAGCTAGTTCACCTCAAAACCCGACAGAGGGTTCTTTACTGAATTGTTTGACGTGACCCATGCTGTGCAAGTGGCAGTTCGATTCAGATGTATTGAGTTTTCATGTAACTTTGATGTGTTTTATATCTTCAACACATGCACCATTGTGTCAAATTTATTTTAGTTATCTGTTTTGATCCTTGCTATTTTATATATATATAGACCAACTTGCAATGGTTTTGACAGTGGGATTGAGGGCCGACCATTCAGGGGCATTAGCAAACAGAAAAACCACAACATCCAAAAATGCCGGGGTTGGTCTTGCAACGTCCTGTAAAGGGCACACAACTAATTATGTATTATATTCTGTACTTCTATCTCTCAGTTCATGACCTCCTTTCATTTAAATATGGAGAGAAAAGATGCTAAAATCAGTAAAATTAGATTTGTCTGCAGAATAATTTCAACTTCAACAGACTGGCTTTGACTAACATTTGTTTTAACTCTTTCACAACCAACTTGTGATTACCTTAACTATCTACCCTGAGAAGTTCTAGTTTAAAGTGGCAAGTATTTAAGTTTAAACTAGTCAGGATTATGACATCATGGTGCCCAAAATTGTAAAACTGATAGATTGATTTAATGAGTTAATGTAACAGCCGTTTGCAATAGAAGAAAGCCAGAAATGTGTACTGTATTTGGACTGCTGAATGAACACATGATGTGATACATTCTATTGACTGAAAGAGTTAAAAGTGAACTGTGTATTTCATTCTGGTTATTAATGTGTCTGTGTGTGTTTTGTTTTGTTTTTTGCATAAGGTAGCACATATATTTTCCTTTTGTTGTTTATTTTCTTGAAGCTACCTCACTAGCAGATCCGAAGTCTATGTCCCTGAACATATTGTGGCCAAAACTTGCCTGATGTGAGTGACTGTCTTCTGTTTGGCTGCAGGCACTGCTTCTGTTATTTTTATTATTGTAGTTATTGCTGTTGTTTATTTACATTTGGCAAATTTCCCAACTTTTGTCTTCATAATCATTATCATTTCCCATTTCCCATATTCATTTTTAAAGAACATCAAGCCCACATTCAATCATTTTGTTTCCTTTAAGTTCTGTTACAGTTGTTTAAAACATTTATTTTTTATAATTATATTGTTAGAATCAGCTGTAAACTTGGTGAAACAAAAATAACTAGGAAACAGCAGCCTGTTGTAGTTTAACATTACACGATTAATCAAAATGAGGAAACAGAAAAACCGCCCTTGAGCAAGGACATATCCTCATGTCTTGTAACCCTTTCCCCATCTTCAGCAACAAACAAATAGGTCCAAATCCGATGGCACCAGTAACTGTCTCATTCTTTATCCGTCTCGCCCTTCCCTTATGTGTTGAGCATCGGCCAGATCCCTTGGTAACTCCTACCAGCGCCATTCTCTTCAGACCAAGATAAGTCAGATGTAACACTAAGAATGTCATTATGTCAGACAATTATCAGCCAAGAACACAAACACTGAAATTAACTTACAAAAGTGGTGTGACATACAGGAAGTGGGAATTTTCTTTGTGCTTTATAAATATGATTGATGAATTTATGATGACCTATATACAACAATTTCAGATTGGCATGGCAACAAGAAACTGGTCAGTTTCGTATATTTAATACAAAAAATGTGTAATTCCCAGGTCATCTGACTGTGCGGAAAAAATTCGTCCAGCAGAAAGTTTGGAAAACATGCTTCAGCCACAACCACCTACTGTGGCCAGCAGGTTCTCTTTGTCGCCCCAAGGCTTTTTACATTTTCATCCTACCTGCCAGTTTGTTTTGGATATTTTTTTAATATTCTTTTCCAGTTTATCCATTGAACTGCAGCAATATATTATATAATATGCCATTTCTGTTCCCCCAGAAGTCAGTAACATTTTCTTCCTTGTTTTACCATCTTCATCTACATTAACTGAGCATTTATCCATAAGAAACATGTTACCAGATGCATGTGTTCTATTTAATTATTTTTTTAACACTGCTTGAAGTTCTTAAAATTATATTAATACCTTCAGCCTGTTGATGGTGTGATAAATTTTCCCCAATGTGTCCATGGAACAACAATAATATATTATAAAATATTTAACTTCCTTTCCCCAAATGTCTTGCTTGTTTTCTTCACTGCTAAGGAGTATTTAATGCGATCTTTATGAAAGCTGGCCCAATACAGGATACCATTGTTTATTAATTTTAAGGCACCACCGCGGCTGTAGTTAGAGGCCCTAATATAACCTAACCGTTGAATGGGGTTTCTGGGACTTGTGGCTGGGTGATCCTCATCCGAATTGTGGCACTTTGTGTCACCAGATGCTTTACGGTGCTGGTGGTTTTGATTCACATAAATAAATACACACACGCACACACATGCATGCGCACACACACACACAATCACACACACATACCCACTCACCCACCCAGGCAGTCAGACAGACAGATAGACAGAGTTAATTGTCATTTTTTATTTGCTTTTTAGATTTATTCATTTAGAAACAGGAGTGTATCTTAAAATATTTAACTTTATGTCCACACAAATTAATACAACTTTTTTGTATCCCCATTAATGAATACAACATTCACCTGTCCTCACAGACGAATAAAACTTTCTCCATTTCTTGCTTCACTGACATAAAGTCAATTAGTAAATGACCCTTGTTATGCCAACACTGCTATATCAGACATATGACGCTAGACTTGTGTTTGTTTGTAGATCAGTGGGCACATGTAAAAAGTGCTCCATAGAGGAGCAAATGCAACATCATCTTTCTGATTATGGTACACCCGGATAGTCATTGGTGTAGCCACTAGGGGTTGATCAGGGTGTCTGGGTTTTGGCCTGTTAGTTTCCCATCCAGGATGTAATTCTTTGAATCCTAGGGATGTAAAGCTTCAAGTAGCAGCCCAGAGGGGGGAAACTGTCAGACAGTCCAAAATCAATTTTATGAAGAGATATCATGAAATAATGTCAAAGCAAATGAAAAGTAGAATCCAGTTTACATCCAGTTTATATATTGTTGTCATTCATATATATTGCTTAATCCTACTCTGTGGTTCATTTATTTTGTGGTTTATTTATCAAAAAACCTCAATCGTACTTTGCATATACTCTCCATAAACTGTGTAAACATTTCTTTTTAGTTATAATAATTTGTTGATATAAATTAATTTACTTATAACATAGAAATTTAGTTATATGGATTTTAAAATGTAAATTAAGCTACTTTATTTAAAAGTTACTTAACTCTTTGAGTCCCAGGGGGTTAAGCATCAGTGGCCCAAGGGGTGGTAATGCATTTTTTTAATTTTACAAGTGTTACACATTAAAACAGACCATACTAATTCAATTGCTGCTCAACATACACATATTATACATCAAAATGACCAGGGATTATTGAGAAATAATTCTAGAATACAGCTACAACAAATAATTGCGTTAGTAATTAGATATTAGTAAATAAACAGACATATGTTTATAAAAATTAGCAACAATGAAATTTTTAAAAATTCCGCTTACCACCATGTCACTGAAGGAAAACTGGTTAAAATATATCCAAAATGAATATGAACCACTTTGTAATATATAGGTAAAATATTAACTTAATCTATGCATTAGATTTTGATCCAGAGAATCTGTTGAAGCATCATAACAGAGCACCACTTTTTGGTAAAGAAAACTCAGACTGGCTCCCAAAACAATAAGTATCTTCACACAAAACACAATTTATTTACCACTCAGTTTGCCTGTAATTTTATAGCTATGTTCCTAACTAATAAGGGGAATAGCACAAGAACTAACTGCCACTGAAGAAAATCGTCTTTTCACTAATGTTTATTCTGTTTGTGCCAGCTGACTTTGCTATCATTGTACCCTTCACGTGAGGTACACATTAGACATATCCCTTATCAAAGTTTGACTATAAATGACTGAAACACGTCTAATTCACAAGGTTATCTGTCTAACTTTAGATCAATCTAATAAACAAATAAACTCAAAGAGTTAATTTATAGGAATTCTTGGTGTAAATAAAGTTGCATAACTGATATGATTTTGTTGTTGTCAGTTAAATTACTTAAATATAGGAAACTATTGGTATATTGACCATAGTGAATATTACACAATTTGTAATGCATGGAAACTATTGGTATATTGACCATAGTGAATATTACACAATTTGTAATGCATGGAAACTATTGGTATATTGACCATAGTGAATATTACACAATTTGTAATGCATGGAAACTATTGGTATATTGACCATAGTGAATATTACACAATTTGTAATGCATGGCTTTCCCTTGTATGCTTTCATGTTTCATGCACATTTTGTTTAAAATATTATTGTATGAATTTTTATTTTGCTATACATTTATTGTTGAAACTTGTTAAACTGAGAACGCCTCAAAATATTTATGAATTTAACCCATGAATATATGTGTAAAGTGTTTTCTATAATGAAAAAAATTTAAGACCTCTTTAAATCTTGGTAATTTAACCTGCATTCCACTGGTCTCTCTCTCGAGGGGTGACATGCGAAAATTCATAGTCAGCTGTTGACTCATCGAAGACACAAGACAGGCCCACTCTTCCTTAACTTTTCATAGTGTGGAAATAATGGGAATAAGTGTCTTGAAAACCACATTTACAGTTCACACAAACAGACATTCTCCCGTAATTCCTCTTTCACCTTTCCCTGTGTGGGTTCAAGAGCCCCATTTAGGAGGGGGAGAATAGAATAGATTCCACCCCCCACCTCCCCCCAACAAGCTTGTCATAAAAGCAACTAATCATGAGTATTTTGTTCAGAGTCAGAGTGCATCAGCCTGAGAGGCAAGGAGCCAACAGTCTGCATACAAATAAGCCAGATCTGTAAAATGGATGTGCACACAAAACTGTTCTGTTGTATGGCAGTTAATCTTGGAATGTGAGCAAACAAATTAACAAGAGTTTGGAGGCAACTGAGATGTGGTTCTTGAGAAGAATGTTGCAAATGCCTTGGACTGCCACAATAACTAACAATGATTGGCTGAAAATAAAATGGCTAATGTCTTTTGCTGGTTGAATTAGTGACATATTGTGTTTCTTTGATGTCTCTTTTACTCCATCCACCCATCTCTTTCTTGGTCAGCTTCTTTTCTTGTAACCTGCTGTTCTTGTACTGGTGCAGTCATGCAGTCATCACTGATGCAGTCGTCACTGATGCAGTCATCACTGATGCAGTTATCACATGTCAGATAGTTGATAAAACTCAATGATGAAATGGGGCTTCAGATTAACATTGACTTTTGCATTCTTCTGACAGCTCAGAGCCTGGGAGTCCAAACTCCAGCACTGCCACCCAGGAGAAGCATTATCACTTTCAGGCAGTGGAAAGTACTTCTGAAGACAAGTCTCCTGCCACGTCATCTCTTGATAAACGTAAGATCTTATGTTTTTGACATGTTCCTGTTTTTTTAATTTTTAATTTTTTTAATTTTTTTTTCAAATGTTTTATCTAATGTCATCTTAGTTCTCTGTGGAGTGTCCTTTTTCCTAAAAAAGATGTTTCGTTTGTAATACTAGTGGATATCACCATGTCTTAGGACCATGGTGGCATCTGGTGCAAGATGCCTTATAGCAAGCAAGTCAAATTGGCAGCCCACAGGCCACATCCAGCCCTTTGCAAGCACACATGCATCCCTTTGCAAGCACACATGCAGCCCTTTGCAAGCACACATGCAGCCCTTTGCAAGCACACATGCAGCCCTTTGCAAGCACACATCCAGCCCTTTGCAAGCACACATGCAGCCCTTTGCAAGCACACTTGCAGCCCTTTGCAAGCACACTTGCATCCCTTTGCAAGCACACTTGCATCCCTTTGCAAGCACACTTGCATCCCTTTGCAAGCACACATGCAGTCAGCATAAAGGAAATATTCTGCAATAGTTGTTATTAAATTACTCCAATTAGTTGTCGAGTGTGACCCCTATGACCCTAAAATATGACCCTCTGAGGGCCCTGAGTTAGACACGCCTGCCTTATAGGGTAAACAAGAATTGATGTGGCAGATGTAGCTTTCTGCAAGATGCATGACTGATACACACACACACACACACAAAAGATGTCAGCTGCAGTGAGATAAAGGATATTAAGTGTTGAGATAAAGAATATTAGGTTGGAGATAAAGAATGTTAAGTATTAAGAAAAAGGATGATAAGTGCTGTAAAAACATTTGTGCTATATTAAAGGCTGTATGGGAATATAGAAAGATGTACACAATGTTTTTGTGGATTTTAAAAAGGCGTATGATAATGTTCATAGAAACAGTTTTTGGAATGCTCTGAAGGACTTTGGAATACCAAAAAAGTTCATTAGCATGACCAAACTATGTATGGAAGACACTCATAATATAGTAATTTATAAAGGCAGAAAGTCAGACCCTTTATAAGTACTTGGGTGCAAACTTCAACTGCTCCAACATGCTGAGAGAAGAAATACAATCTAGAATACAATCTTGAAATAAAGTATACTATGCCCTTCAACATCTGCTAAAGTCAAAGAGCCTGTCTCGCAACACCAAGATCAAAATATTTAAAACGTTGATTAGACCAGTCGTGTTATAGGGCTCTGAAAATTGGAGCACAACTAAAAGAGATGAAGCCTTATTACAGGTTTTCAAAAACAGAGTCTTACAATGAATCTTTGGACCCATCAAAGATGCAAACAGCGGTGAAGGGAGAGAGAGAAGCAACAATGAAATTCAAAATCTGTTTCAATCACCACTGATCACTGGCATCATGAGAGCTAATAGACATAAATGGTTAGGGCATTTTGAAAGAATGTCAGATGACAGAGTAGTAAAAACTGTATACACCAGGGAAATGAATGGTTGTAGACCACGAGGCAGACCAAGAAGACGATGGAGAGATAATTTCCAGACAGATCTGCAAACACTTGGTGACAGCAACTGGAAAGAGAGGGCCAACCAGAGAGATGAATGGAGGCGGGTGATATCTGCAGCAATGAACCTCAAGGGCTGGGAATGCTGAAGACGAAGAAGTGCTGTAAAAACATTTGTGCTATGTTGAGGACTTTTTAAAAAAACGTGTGCTATGTTAAGTGCTGTAAAAACATTTGTGCTATGTTGAGCACTATAAAAAATATTTGTGCTATGTTAAGCACTAAAAAAACGTGTGTGCTATGTTAAGTGCTGTAAAAACATTTGTGCTATGTTGAGCACTATAAAAAAAACATTTGTGCTATGTTGAGCACTATAAAAAAACATTTGTGCTATGTTGAGCACTATAAAAAAAACATTTGTGCTATGTTGAGCACTATAAAAAAAAACATTTGTGCTATGTTGAGCACTATAAAAAAAACATTTGTGCTATGTTGAGCACTATAAAAAAAACATTTGTGCTATGTTGAGCACTATAAAAAAAACATTTGTGCTATGTTGAGCACTATAAAAAAAACATTTGTGCTATGTTGAGCACTATAAAAAAACATTTGTGCTATGTTGAGCACTATAAAAAACATTTGTGCTATGTTAAGCACTAAAAAAACGTGTGTGCTATGTTAAGTGCTGTAAAAACATTTGTGCTATGTTGAGCACTATAAAAAAACATTTGTGCTATGTTGAGCACTATAAAAAAATGTATGCTATGTTGTGTAGGCAACATCAGTCTCTGGGGACCATGGAGCTGTGCTGCTGGTTTTTGGAACAGTGCTTGCTATGACTGTAAAGCCCAGTGAGGAAGTGACAGTCTCTGCCACATAGTCCACATGAAAACTTTGATACATTATCATTTGGAGGCTGGTTTTTCTGTCAGGCGTCTCCTTTGTTTAGCTTGTTGCATTTGGTCTCTTTCAAACTGTGACAGTCCATCTTTCACTGCCTGCCTCCAAGGGGGCCAGTCTGCAGCTGATATTTCCCAAGTTTTCCAGTTTTGATTTACTTCAGGTCGCATTTACATATGCCCTAATAGTGTCGCTTTGGCCTTCCTGCAAGTCTTGTCACTGTTACCAGCTCCCCATACAGGAGATCCTTTGGATGCCACCATCCTCCATAGGAGAGACATGTCCCAACCAACGCAGGTATCTTTGCTTCAATAGAAAGTACCTTGTTGGCATTCCTGCTCTTTTGAGTACACATTCATTGGGGATAAAGTCTCGCCTTGATATACCAAACATTTGTCTCATACAGAGCAGGTGGAAAGTATTCAGTCTTGTTTCTTGAGAAGCATACAGAGTCCAGGTTTCAAGGAGAGTGCTCAGGACGCAAGCTTCATAAACTTTAATTAAAGTGCTGTGTTAAATGCTCTAAATCATTTGTGCTGTAAAAACATTTGTGCTATCTCCACAATGGAGGTTGGCTGCAGAAAATACAAGCATTTAGGCATTCACCAATTTCTTTGGGAATGTTATGTAGTCAACGGACTCACTGAGAAACATCTAGCCTAAAGATTTAGGATTGCTTGTTTAGTGCAGTTGCCATGGTCTGTGCAGGTTAGGAGTTTCATTTTTGCTTCTAATAGAAAAATATCTGTCACCTCATTGTTGATTTAAACCCAGGACTTTCACATGAGAACCCAATTTCGGAACTGTTTTGTAGTCTCATTTACACTTGGATACTTTTTGATTTATAGCGTGATTGTTTCAATGGTATTTGTTTACATTTCAGAATTAATTGATGCATCAAAAACGGGTGAAATCCAGAAGGTAAGACTTCCTTGTTTCTTCTGAACAGTGTGTCCACTGTATTCATGTAACAATCGGCTGCAGGAAACAGAAATAACATGACTATGAAGCTGTTTTAATGGGTCGTCGGTTCAGGTTAAAATACTCCAAGATGCTCATTATTGTGAGTAAAAAATACTAATGTGGGTAATTTTTTTTTTTTGGTTTTTTTTTTTTTTTTTGGTTTTTTGTTTCCAATTTGATAAAATAAAGAAAGTTGGTAGGAAAAATTAAAATAAATTATGTCATCATTATGTAACATGCTGCTGTGAGCTGGAATGAGTTAAATCAAGTACTGACATCACAGCGCTCTGACCATTCTCATTAGCGCTCTGTCCCCCATCTTCAGCAGCCAGTGCTGAGTTCCAGTTCCAGTGGTACAGGTAGCAGTCTGATTAAATGTCCCTTTTGCCTTGCCACTAAATCAGCGGCTCTCAACCTGTGGGTCGCAACCCTTTTTGGAGACGAACAACCCTTTTACAAGGGGTCACAAAAGACCATCGCAAAACACATATTTATTGAAGTTATGAAGAAGCGACAAAAATAGTTGTAAGGTTGGGGGTCGCCACAACATGAAGAACTGTATTAAAGGGTCGCCACAACATGAGGAAGTGTATTAAAGGGTCACCACAACATGAAGAACTGTATTAAAGGGTCGCCACAACATGAAGAACTGTATTAAAGGGTCGCCACAACATGAGGAAGTGTATTAAAGGGTCGCCACAACATGAGGAAGTGTATTAAAGGGTCACCACAACATGAAGAACTGTATTAAAGGGTCGCCACAACATGAAGAACTGTATTAAAGGGTCGCCACAACATGAGGAAGTGTATTAAAGGGTCGCCACAACATGAGGAAGTGTATTAAAGGGTCACCACAACATGAAGAACTGTATTAAAGGGTCGCCACAACATGAAGAACTGTATTAAAGGGTCGCCACAACATGAGGAAGTGTATTAAAGGGTCACCACAACATGAAGAACTGTATTAAAGGGTTGTGGCATTAGGAAGTTTGAGAGCCACTGTTCTAAATGCTAAGAGTTGGCCTGATCTCCTGGTCACTCCCTGCGGCTCTAACATCTGCTGACCATGATTATCTGTTTGTGCTTGGGCACTCTTCACTCACTTCGAAAGGCCCTTGACCACATCTAGCCTGCCCTGCATCAAGTTACTACCACGTGATTACAGAACCAGCCAATCTCTCTCTCTTGTTGTTTCCTGATGTACCTTAATACCCCGGAGAAAATATCCAAAAGACACTAACTACCCAGGACTTCTTAAGCTATGCTTACTACTTCGCACAGGGCCTCTCTCTCTCTCCACCTTTCTCAGCATGCTTTTGTGAGTCTGTTAAATCACAACATGTGTGTGTGCAGCTGGTTGTGAAACTAGTGGGAAGCTGCAGTGCCTGCCTCCGACTCCATTATCAAACTGCATGTTGTGGTATCATTTGCCAGGCTTTAAGGGTTGCCCATTCACTTTCACTGTGAACCTCCATTCACTTCTGCTTCTCAACACAAGAGCTGTCAATACAGATAATTAGATCACCTGGGTGAGAATTCTCATGTGAATTTCTGATTCTGCCATGCCGGCTGGCCAGTCCCTGCACTCTCCTCCCAATGTGATTAGAACCCTACACAGATCTGATTGTTTGTTCTAGCACTTTAGCTCATTCCTTTCCTTGTGCAGGTTTTTTCAATCATACACAGATGTTTCTTTGTGGCTTTTTCGGTCACAAACAGATGTTTTTTTGCTGCTATGATTGAGTGTATACTAAAATCAGCTACCTCAGTTCAGGTCCCTATTTTTTAGATATTTATGTCATGTTGTCAAGTTGTCTGTGTATTTATATGTTTGTCTTTCCCTTCCTCGCTTCCATCAAGTTTACCAGTTGTCACTAAGTTTTTCAGTTTATATTTCCTTATCTTCTTCATCTTCTTCTTCTATCCTTCTGTTAGACAACTTATATCAGGGGGCTGGTAGCCTTTATAAAAGCTTTCATGCAGTCTATATCTTCTCATGTACCACACAGTTTTGTCTTCATTGTGGTTGGAACAAGCCAGATTACGTCTATGTTGTCAGCACACAATTGACAGTGTTGGATCACATGCTCAGCAGTTTCGGGTGCCACTCTGCAGGATCACGTCTCCGTACCTTAAAGTTTGAACATATGTTTATTTCCTTAGTAAGACCTATTTCATCATTTTGTGCTGAAATAAAAATATTGATTTCCCATGTGGCTTTTAGGGAACTTCAGAGCCGTATTTTGTGTGACAGTAAGAATAGAGTCACTGTTTAAAATTTGTTTAAGATTTTCCACCTTAGCCGGGATGTTGCATTTTGGTGTTTGTCTTCAAATAGTTAACAATGAAAGCATGGTCAGAAGTCAATATTCGTGTCAATGTAATTCATTAATTGATTATCTTGTTGTGCCATTATATGTCACACAGGGCTTGCAGTCTATTCTTTCATTCCATTATGTTCTGTGTAATCAGTTCGATATTATGTGTGGAATCCTGTCCAGCAGCTTTAGCCTCACTCATTAATGTTCGTTTTAGGGTTTCTTTTGGGCGTTATCACCTACTTAATCCATTTGCAAGTTACTGTTTTTGCCAGAGTCCTGATAGCATAGTAAATAGTGCTCAGGATTACCATTATAGCAGTTAGGGTTCAACCCTGAACTCAAGAAAGATTGCCTTTCTTTTGAAAAGAATACATTTAGTATTTGTAGCTTTGTGCTATTTGTTTAGTATTCATGATTGATATCTCTTGCATCAGATTGCAGAACTCAACCATAAGGGAGCTAACCTGTTAGCCACAGATCAGTATGGAATGACTGCCCTTCACCATGCTGCCAGATTTGGACACAAGTGTGTTGTCAAATTTCTTATCGATAATGGTGGGTATATTTTATTTTTTTTTTTTTCATTCACTGATTGTTTTCTTGCATAAATTTGTGATTTTATTTTAGTTTAATTCTTCTTATCCATCCTTCACCACCATACACGTTCATTTAAAAAAAAAAAATATTGGATTAAAAGATTTACAGAAATAACAAAAGTGCAAATTTGTTGTTGTCTGATAATTGCTTGTATGGACAGCTATAAGACTAAGAATATGATGATACAATAAGTACATCCTGAGAATCACCATACAGGGACTGAAGTGGGAAATAAATGTATTGAGGAAAGAAGGATATTTTGAAAAAATCCTAAGATGAACATTGATGAGAGTGACCAAAGTTGCTGGCTGGATTCCATCTGTGAAATTGAACAGATTTCACAGGATAGAACGGATTAGGGGAATAGACCATGAGCCCTGTGTGACAAAAAAATTGCAAAGGAGGACAGTGAGGATGATGATGATGACTGTGATACTTTGCACATATGGCAAATTGTGTATTTGTTGACTGGTGCCACGTTGGTATTGCATTTGGTATACTTCTTCTTCTTCTTCTTCTTAGGATTCACCTGTTGTAAACTCTGGCAGAAAGTTCTGGTTGTTTGTCCACTTACGGTCTTCAGTTTTGTTCCAGAACTTGAGTTTTGCATGTAAATATATGCGCTCTTTTAGTTCCTCGCTTCTCAGACAGATGCACTCTGATTTGAAGGAAACACCACTAATTAGTCAATTTCACAATATGTTTGTTAAGGGGGGGGGGGGGGGGGGGAATCAGTGAGTCTGTTCTTTTGTTTCTCCCATATCAAGGCCCTAGAACCCACAGTGGCAAAACAGTATATTACACTTTATTACAATCATAGTCGAGTTGAATTTCAGATTCCAGCAGGGTATGCTTGAAATATCCACCTCAGTTGTAGAAGTCTGCAGCATGCATCTTTGTGCAGAGATTGTTCCCATATATGTGTCATGATAAAATTTTAAAAAAAGAAATGTCTTGAAATGTATTCCACCTTTGAACCTTAGTCAAACACAGCTACAGACATCTCTAACAGTGACAGCCTTATTTTATTTGTCCCAGGAAGTTATAGAGGACCTGCCCCTTTATCAAAATGATTTTTGAGTTGCCACAAGTTGACGATTCAGCAGAGCTGATATCACTCAAGCAATTAGTGTCCTGAAATCCTCAATAAAGATTGACTGCAATAGATCTCCAACATCCTCTGTTCAGCCCCACTTCTGCACTATCTCAGACTGGTTTGAAAACATCTCTCAAAGTTATCCTTCCAATTGTATCACCATGTACGTCTACTTTGCCATCTTCAACTTTTCCCTTCGATTTGGGTTTTTTTCTCCCCAAAGAGTGTTTACCTTTAATGCTGTTAAAATATTGAGATTAACAACCGAAATAAACCTCATAGCTGTCTGGGTTAAACCCCTCACTGTATAAAAATTGTTTATCTAAACACTTACACATGAGCTTTACCTTATTTGTTTATCTGGCAGAAAACTGGGGAAAAGGGGAGAAGCTGATTAGCCCAAACTCTAATACAATAATCTAAAAATGCTATGTTTAATCATGTTAGTCCCCTTATTCGAAATCTCCTGCCAGTGAGGCTCTGATAAAGTTGCGATTGAGCCTAGCAAGCCAGCAGTTAATTTAATATTCTTACAAAGAATATATGGAGAGATAATGGACTGATCAAATGGTACTCATGAGAAACAACTACCTACCCTACAAGAGATGCAGTGGCAGTGGGTAGTTAGATGAGTAGGTAGGTAGATGAGTAGCTAGGTAGGCAGACAGAATTATGTAGCTAGATAGGCAGACATAATTATGTAGCTAGGTAGACAGAGAGAATACTGAATCTATCAATCTTTAATGTCCCAAAACATTATTTTTTGTGTGCTGTAATTGTCATCTTTTATTTATTTTTTGTCACTTTTGAACATGAATTTGACATGAATGCTGGTGTCAGCTGATTAAAGGATGAATGTTGTTGTCAGCTTATTGATATGTTTTTCTTGTTACTCTGCCACAGCTCCTCCTGTCATACTGGACATGGTGGAACATGAAAAGTAAGTCAGCCTTATCACTTTAACTTTTAAAAGATCTGTTATCAGTCATCTATATATAAAAAATCAATGCTTGTGTGTTTGTTTATGAGCTATAGACTCAGAAACTATTGAACCTATTTAGCTTAAATTTTCAGGATATGTTTGTTTTGATACCGGATGTTTACCCATCATGGTTTGAAATTCTACCTGTCATTGTTAGAGATAGGTGTCCACATTTGTTGAAAAAAAATTTTCAAAACTAATATTTTCATTTTTAGTGACATTTAATTATAGCCACGTTAGTAAATGCGCATGCGCACGCAGTAGTCGGAACGAACGACTTCCACCATTCGCCGGCGTGGTACAGCAAACCAGACTATCTCTATATCGCTAATTGCGACGTTAACCATATTAGACACGATTTCTGTTTTCTTTCTTTTCAAACAACCTTCAATGAGTTAGAGAGTAGTCTGTGGATTTCAGAAAGGGAAAGAGAAGGGGGGGGATCTATGTCTGCGCAGCAGACAATGATTGCGACATTTACCGTGTTAGACACGTATGATCTCTATTATTGTGCCCTTTCAATAATACTTGAAGTTTATATCTGGGATATCTGTTATTAAGAAAACAATTGCCTGCGGTTTTGAGTTGTGTTAGAATCGGGACACACATCTTGCGTAGTTTTGTTCTCTTTTCATTGTTCAGAAGCAGAAGTTGGCTGGCGGAATGGTTAGTACACTGGGTTCCTGTGCAGGAGACTAGGGTTCGAATCTCCAGTGTGGCAGTTTCTTTTTTTTTTTTTTACCCGGGGGCAAAATAAAACCTAGACCTGTTCTGTCGTGGTGACAGCACAAGCCATGTGGCCATAAATACTTTAAAAAAACACAGGTATGTGGGTAAACCAGTTGATAATTAAATTTGACCAGTTCGCATACTTATAATTTCATTTCAAACTTTCCGATTGCATGGTTACGCTGAATTTTCATAGATTTCCATTTATTTTCATTTTGACTTAATTATTTCTTCTGACATTGCATTGGAATTAGGCTGTGTTGTTTATCATAGCATTCATTTCGCAATTATGGTGTATTTTTGTTGTTTTTGTTGCATTTCACTTTGTTTGTTTCTCCAAACTACTTCGATGAAGAAAAGAGTAGTCGGTGAATTTGGGGGGGGGGGGAGGGTAGCATAAACTGGTAACTGAGAGAGCATTAAGTCACAGTAACTGCCTTACCAACTCAAAGTAGTAGCAGTAGTAGTAGTTGTGGTTGGGCAGTTACACCGTAGGGCTGTCATGCCGGAGACCGCTGGTAAGGTGACAGCATTTTTCTGTTGGGGAACAAAATTACACATCCTAACCTGACCAGTCCGTGGCGATAGCACTAGCCATGCGGCGCCAAATCCTCTGGCTCACAACTCCCTGTCTACTCCGATGGTAAAACAGATAGCAGTGACATTATTTTAGTTTTTGTGTGGCGGTGGTGGTAGTAGTTGTACTGGTACTTGAAGGATATTGTGGTAAATATTACACTAGCCGCATTTACTACTCATTACAATTCCTGCTCCCCATTTTAGTCCGGATGGACAGGGATATCAAGGTCAGCTACAAAAAATGTCAAGTGATGACTTTCAAATCCTTCGAAGAGGGAGAGAGCAGTATTCTGTGGATGGGGGAGGGGAGGGGGTGATGACATAAATTGTTAACTTAATGAGCTTAACGCATGATTTTAAAATTTCATTTCTTAATTTGTTTATATTTTACTAACGCTACCTCCGCTATTCTCTTTTTTTTTTTTAAACGACTCACTTGGTTATTTACAATTACAGTAGTAAGCTTTACTTCTGTCTCTTAAAAAAAATACAAACAGCTTTAGCATGTGATAACCAAAAAACCATTTTTTCTACTGTGCTAATAATACCATTTAAATGACCACTAATATAAAGACACAATTATATGTTGCGTGTTCTAAAGTGGCAAACCAGACTATATCTGTGCAGAGAATGATTGGAACATTAACTATATTAGACATGTGCGTTTTCTATTGTTTTTCTTTTTCAAAAGCCTTTGATGAGGGGGCGAGTAGTAGGTGATCCTGTCTTCGGTGATCGCTTTTCTTCAGATAACTGATCTCCTGTCTTCAGATAACTGATCTCCTGTCTTCAGATAATGGATATCCTGTCTTCAGATAACTGATATCCTGTCCAGATAAATGATCTGTCTTCAGATAACTGATTTCCTGTCTTCAGATAAATGATCTGTCTTCAGATAACTGATCTACTGTCTTCAGTGATCTCTTTTCTTCAGATAACTGATCTCGTATTTTCAGATATATAATTGCCTGTCTTGATATAAATGACCTCTTGTCTCATCAAACCTGATTGGCTGCTGTCTACAGAGGTCAGACAGCCCTGCACAAGGCAGCCTGGTATCAGAGAAGGACAATCTGTCACATGCTTGTGGCAGCTGGCGCATCTTTAACCAAGACTGACTTCCAAGGTAACTCCCCCCGACAGCAGGCACTCAAGGCAGAAGACAAAGAACTGGCAGCTTATTTAGAAAGTGAGTACTGCTTTGGGTCAGTGTGGCATCAGGTTGTACATTCTTTTGCAGCCTTGTCACCCACAACTATTTCTCATAATCAGTGCCCTGTTGTGTCTCTTCCACTGGCAGTCATTTTTGATGCAGGTATTCTTGTATGCTATGATGCCAAACAATCTAGCTTCTTCTTTCCTGGTCTTCCCCGCCTCTCTCTTCCACTTCAACTTTCCTGTTATCTTGACTTTTCCCTCCAGTATGTTTTTTTAATTTTTTCTCTAGTATTAGGTCTTTTAATCAGGCCAGATTATTTCAGTTGTCTTTTTTTTTTTTTTAATTTCTTTTAGCCATTCTCTTTTCATTCCTTGTTTCTTCAAAACCTCTGTATTAAATTGCTTTTGTTTTCATGAAATGTGATCTATCTCTCTGTTTATCCACATCTCCAGAGACATCATGATTTTCTAGTTGCTTCTCATTGTCTAGGTTTCTGCACCTTACAGTAGATTTGAGTAGACATAATATTTTATGATTCTCATTTCCAGTGTGTTGTTTACCTCTTTAGCTGTCAGTAAATGTTGCATCCTTTTGAAGATATTTTTAGCATTTCCTATTCTCTGTTTGATTTCTTTCCACACCTTATTTTATGTCTACAAACATGGGAGCTGGTATTTACCCAATTGCTTGTAAGTTTCAGTTCTTTTGATTTTTATATTATCTGTTTGAATGTGGCCGGAGTTTATACCCTTGCTCTCGGTTGTTGCAGCCATGTATTCTGTCTTATCTTGATTGTTTTCCTTTGTATATAGATTATTTTTACCTACTGTATTTTTCTCAACTAAGTAACCAAGTAATTTTGTTGTTTCTCCACAGTCTTCTTTTGGCTTCTGCATAATTTTATCTGGAAGCCACCATGTTGTCGCAGCTATACGCTCGCCTGTGGATCGGAAGTTTGTGGATTCTGGTCCTGCTAGAGCCAGACCTTTTTCACAAAGGACCTTGGCTCGCAGATCTGCCCAGCCTTGAGTGGGTACCAGGTACAATCCTGGGAAGTAAAGGCGGTTGGGGTGATGCTGACCACATCAACCACCAAGTGTTGATTGGTCTATAAAATATAGGTCTCTTCTACATTTTCAATATGCCTGAAGGTAAGGAAGGGGTTCTTCTTATTGCTTACTGATAATTTTCTCAAGGGCCAAGCTGAAAAGAAGCAGGGGCTGGGCATTATCTTGCTTAAACTGGGACGTTATTTGAGAAGTCTGATTGTCTGCCTTTATATTGAAGTGTTTTCCATGCATAATTAGGTCATATATGGTATTCCAAATTCCTGAAAAACACTCCACAAACTATTCAGTATATTGAATAAAATTATGAATTCATCAGAGTCTTCTGCATTTTCAGATCAAGAGCATTTTCAGCTTGTGCAGTCTGAAGACCAAGAGACAGCAGTATAGTATCATCTGACCCATGACAGATTGTCCCCTTCCATGTGTGCCAGCATCCATTCCAAGTTGACCAGAAAATGAGCAATGCATTGTTGACCCCAGGCGTTCAAGTTATCTGTTTTACCTCTGTTTAGAAATAAACAGCAAAATGTGATATGCATATGGTTGTAAATTCTCATGACATTTTAAAGAAACATGTTATGTGTGTACATATGTGTGTGTTCATGTTTGAACATTTACCCAAATTATAATAATTGCACATGCACTATCATGTTACTTTTATAAGTATCGTTTCGTTATTTATATAACCTGTTACTTTTATAAAAAGCAATTACTTAATTTACTTTTCTTTTATGTACTATGCTAGCAAAAAAAAGAAATCTGAACTCTTTTTTTATTTCTGAGCATTTATATATTGTTACATTAAAACATCTGTTAGTTACATTAAAACATATATTAATTACATAAGAACATCTTTAGTGACATTAAAACATCTGTTATAACATGAGACCATCTGTTACATTGAAACATGTATTTGGGACATGAGAACATCTGTTGGTCACATTAAAGAATATACTAGTTACACCTGTTACTGATTTAAGAATCAACATCATAGGACACAGGGTGTGCCCATAAAATAGGGGTGGACAAACTTTGATTAATCCACAAAAATATTGTATCACACGGAAATCTGGGTGTTTTGTTTATTAGAATTTTTTTTTTCTACAAGACCCACAACCATGTTGGTAATTCTAAATTTGGCCTGCGGACTAAAAATGGTTACCCACCCCTGCAATAGATGCTCTATCTCTCACAGCAAATGTCAGTGACTTTACTCTGAAATTGATACTTATAGCAAATGTTGACAGGAAAAGGAGAAGGAAAATGTGGAAGAAGAAGAAAAAAAGTTGATAAGGGAAGAACCAGAAGGAAATCTGACAGAACATCTGACAGAACATCTGACAGAACATCTGACAGAACATCTGACAGAACATCTGACAGAACATCTGACAGAACATCTGACAGAACATCTGTTAGCAGAAGTCACATCTAATGGGTTGCCTGAAGTATCTGGAGGATATTGGGTAAACCCTGAGGTAAAAAAAATGAATATCTATGACCAGATAAAACCTGTCCCTGCTGCCTCTGGCATGACAGTGTTTTAACCTTGTAATGAGAACAGACCAATCAGCAAGCAAGTACTTGTTCATTCTCAGCTGCTGATCATTGACAGAATGGCCAGTGTGACTCCGTCCAGTGTGTATGAGCAAGTGATGACCCATTTCCTTAAATGCAAAAACATATTCTTATACCGTTGTCCTCGGAAGCTATATATGACACTCTGGTTTGGGGAAACAGTGGGTCTATTCCCCCCCACCCCACCCTGACATTCTTGTTCCGGGAGGCAGTGGATCTATCCCCATTTTCTCCCCCCCCCCCCAATCAGCATTGATGCAACAATATTTACAGACCACCATTGGAGCTTATGTTATGTTATGTTATACTATGACAGTTGACATCACTGCACACTGGGCCTTCACATGCTTGTTCAGTCCTCCGATGCAGCATCAACTCTATGGTACCTCTGCTAATTGTTCCAGAGAGGAGTTGGATATTGTGTCTCCTGGCTGGGCCTCAAAGGTGGCTTTGGCGTGCTTCACCGTGCTTTACTTCTAGGTCATGCAGTCATACGAGTGTCAGAGATTCGTCTTCATCCATTAGCCCAGTCCGTACAGCGTTGATGATATCCACTCAGCCCATGCCTCTTCTGGCATGCATTGGTCCACTGCTTGCCCATTGGTCTGCTCACTCATTACCTTTTATGCTGGCATGACCAGGTGTGTAGATCCAAGTGAGGGAGGTTAAGTGTGATTGTTGAATACCTTCTATTCATTCAGAGTTTAAACCACCTCTTGCGATTTTCTGAAGCATGTTCTTGGAGTCTGATACAATTGCTGCACATGTGGCTGCTTCATCAGAGCTTACGTTTGCTAGTGGTCATCTGTGTCACATTTATTTCATTGTCACCAGCATACAAAATTATTGTCGAGTGATGTGCACTCAGCTTGTAGTTAAAGATGAAGGTGCTAAGAGTATTACAGATATCTTTTGTAGTTTTCAAACCGATGAAGAGGAAAAAGATAAACCGTGCAAGAAAAACTGATCCGGTCACTATAATAAAAACTATGACTGCACATTCCAACCTTCCCATTTACTTTCAGTGCATTATCATTTCATTCTTGTTAGAGTTGAGAATTGCAAACACAGGCTTTTTGTCCCTGATTTTCTTTTTCAGCCAAACATGTTGTTGCCTGCTAAGTGCTCATTAATTGTAATAAGTGTCTATGTTTGACACTGATGGCAAAGAGTCGGCCAAAAAGTAGTTATTAGATTTGTCTCAATAGACAAAGGTATACTTCTATGTGCCAAAGGTGATGTTACTTGTCCCAGCACCTAATTTGCATTTTGCACATTTTATGTTGATTTCTCATTCTTTCTTCCCTCTAATGTGAATGTTGACCCTAGATATTTAAATTTTTTTGTTGGTAAATGGTACACACCATTTTTAGTTCTATTTTTCTGTGAACTTTTGTTTTCACTTTTTGGTCACAGATATGTCGCAATTATTTTCATCATTATCTGTTTTAACCAATTTTATCACCTTACCACGGATTCAAACCTGAATCTCATGCATGAGATCCCAGCATCCTAACTATTTTACCAGATGCTCCTCAGTCGCCAGAAGCACTTTACTTCCAACTTCATGGCACTTGTTTTAGACTGGTCATTTTTGTTTTTCCTGCATTGAGTAAGTTTGAACACACAACCCCTGGGCCAGCAGGCAAGTATGTTGGCCACGGCACTAATATGGTCCCGATTAGTACATTTAATTAATGAATTGACGTGTATTGACTGGCAGCTCTACAAAGAAGTAGACAGACAGAAGATCATGGTAGACAACATTAACATCAAAAGCTACAGTTACCATAGTCGGACTCGAACCTGTCACTTCCAAATGATGACCTTACTGCAGAAAACTATACTTTGACACATGACTGACTCAACACCTCTGAAAAAAGTTCAGGTCTATCATACAGCCCCACCATACAACTCAGAGTATCAACATAATTTGTTTCAAGCCATTCAAATAGCATCATTGGTATCAGAAATTCATATTAACTAAGCATAGGTTGAACAACAAACTCAGAAAATACAAACATATCAGAACATAATGTATACAACGAACTTTTGGGTAAGAAATATGATTGGTTGGTTTCAGTGTATGGTACAGAGTGTACAGAAAAAAAACAGGCTGGAAACCTTGAGGCTGTATGAACTAATAAAAACAGTTCTAAAAACAGTTAAAATAAATCATCACAGCCTTCTCTGGTCGGCCTGGCTTTGGAAGAGAAGGTTTCGAATCATCTACATGTGTATTCTGTGCATGATTTTAATTTCATGCACTGTGTGGTTTCGTTATTCTACTAAGTCTGTTTTATGCTTAAATAAGTGTGTTTCAAGTAAAATATGTTTTATATGATTCTGAGGGTATGTGGCACTGTCTACATGATGATGAGGGGTATTTACATATGTTTTGCCTGGTTATATGAGGGTTTTATTTGAAGTTTTGTGTGTTTTTTCTTTTTTCCTAAATTATTGTATGACGGTTTCATGTGGCATATATTTCCCCAGATTATGAGAGTATTGCCTGTAACATCTTTGACATGATGATGAGAGAATGTCATATGGCATGTTTCACCTGATGATGAGAGTATGTCATATGACATGTTTCACCTGATGATGAGAGTATGTCATAATATGCCATGTTTTACCTGATGATGAGAGTATGTCATATGGCATGTTTCACCTGATGTTGAGAGTACATCCTATGACATGTTTCACCTGATGATGAGAGTATGTCATATGACATGTTTCACCTGATGATGAGAGTATGTCATATGACATGTTTCACCTGATGATGAGAGTAGGTCATATGACATGTTTCACCTGATGATGAGAGTACATCATATGACATGTTTCACCTGATGATGAGAGTACATCATATGACATTTTTCACCTGATGATGAGAGTATGTCATATGACATGTTTCACCTGATGATGAGAGTACATCATATGACATGTTTCACCTGATGATGAGAGTACATCATATGACATTTTTCACCTGATGATGAGAGTATGTCATATGACATGTTTCACCTGATGATGAGAGTATGTCATATGACATGTTTCACCTGATGATGAGAGTAGGTCATATGACATGTTTCACCTGATGATGAGAATATGTCATATGGCATGTTACACCTAATGTTGAGTGTATGTCATATGGCATGTTTCACGTAATGATGAGCATATGTCAAATGACATGTGGCATATGTTTCATCTAATGATGAACATGTGTCAAATGACAAGTGTTTTTATCTGATGAGCATATGTCACATGGCATATTTTTAAGATTACCAGATATGTTAAGTGGCACATCTTTCACCTGACGGTGAGCTTATGTCATAGGGTACCTGTTTCACCTGATAATGAGAGTGTGTCATATTGATGTACCGAAGCTGCATTATCTGCCATTGCAAGATCGTATGTGTACAGTGGAAGACTCAAGATATCAGCTTCCCTTTTAATATTATATTTTATGTTAAATACATCAGAACAGAAAGACACATAATTTGCAAGGCTTTAGAAAACTTCTGTGCATTATATCATAGAAAATACCAAGTAATGACTAAGTAAATGTAGGTTACTAAGTAAATGTAGGTTACTAAGTATGAGTGAATGAATCAAGAAACCACATCATTTCATGGTTGTTTATGAAAGTTTAGAATTTCATTCTCAGTTACATCAGGGTGTTTGAAAGAGTATATCACTCTAAATTACTTCAGCCAGACACAAGTTTAGTATTTCAGTCAGAATATGCATAAGTTTAATATTTCATTGTCTGTTCATCCAAGGTGTGCAGAAGTTTGGTATTTCATTCACTGTTT